GTTATCTGTATCTGCAGAAATAATAATGACACCAGGTGATCTTAAAGTATACAATGAGATGACAGAATGCTGGATTTGCAAAGGATTTTTTATAAAACCAGTATTAGAAATAGTACAAAAAATCGAAAAAGCAAAGCATAATTTATTAGAAATCAAAGAATGGGAATCTTGCATAGAAAAAGAACATTTTAAAAAGAAAGAAGTACAGAAAAGATACTGAGAAGCTTTAAGTGCATTTAATCAAAAAGTAAAAGATCATGATTATCATATAAATGGAAAGTACTGAGGTCCAGCTCATGACTCTTATAATAAAAAGTTGTGGATCAATAAAGTACTTCTTGAAATACCAGACCTATTTTAATAAGTTTTTTCAAAACCAAAGTGCCTCTTATCTGTCATAATTTCCAGAGGTATGACTTTCATCTGCTTATGAAAGTTATAAGCAAGTTCACGACTAATAAGCTAAATTGCATTTCAGAGAATATAAAAAAGTACAAAGCTATGGATGTAAGACAGCTTCAGTTCTTAGATAGCTTTTAGCATATAGAAATAGGATTAGATAAGTTAGTAGTATGTCTAGAAGAAAACCTAGAATAGGGCTCCAATCAGTTCGATTCAGTACGGTTTTTACCAAAACTGAAACCGAACTGAATTGATCAGTAACGGTATTGCTAATTACTGAAACTGATTAGTTTCAGTAATCATAAATACCGTTACCGACTGGTAATTATCGAAAACTGAATCGATTTACCGATTCATTATCAGTTCAATTTTAAAAACGTTTCACAACATTTTTATTAGACTATCAAAAAAATGTTAGTGAAACATTTTTTTAAATAAATTAATTGCCATGCGGCTGTTCAATGTATCACACACTAAATTGGCCGATCTACATAATTATGGCAATTTTTTTTTATTCTTGGAAATGAAGACGAGTAAGTGTCTCCAAAATTTTTTTTGTTTTTTTTATGTAAGAACGTTTATTAACGTTCTTTTACTTCTTTTTTTTATAAATTTTGGCCAGAATTTGGAAAAGGAGACCGGTGAGTATTTTTAAAAGAAGGAAGCGAGTTTTTTTTGGGTTTTCTTATATAAGAACGTTTATTAACGTTCTTTTACTTTTTCCTTTTTGTAGATTTCAGCCTGGGAACTTGAAAATGAGGATCAGTAAGTGTTTTTAAAGAGAAAAGCAGGAGGAGGTTTTTTTGTTTTTTTTTTTATGTAAGAACGTTTATTAATGTTCTTAACTTCCTTTTTTTGTAGATTTTAGCCTGCAACTCAGAAATGGAGACTGGTGAGTATTTGGGGAAGCAGGGAGGTTTTTTTTTGTTTTCTTTATGTAAGAACATTTATTAACGTTCTTTTACTTTTTTTTTATAGATTTCAGCCTAAAGACCGGTGGTGAGTATTTTCAAAGGGGGAAGCGGATTATTTATTTTTCTTTATGTAAGAATGTTTATTAACGTTCTTTTATTTCTATTTTTTTTGTAGATTTCAGCCTGAAACTCAAATGGGGACTGGTGAGTATTTTTAAAAGGGAAAATGGTTTTTTTTATATTATTTATGCAAGAACGTTTATTAACATTCTTTTACTATTTTTTTTGTAGATTTTAGTCCAAAATTCGGAAATAGAAACCAGTGGTGAGTATTTTCAAAGGGGGAAGCGGATTTTTTATTTTTCTTTATGTAAGAATGTTTATTAACATTTTTTTATTTTTATTTTTTTTGTAGATTTTGGCCCAGAACTCAAATGGGAACCGGTGAATATTTTTAAAAAGGGGAAATGGGGTTTTTTTATTTTATTTATGCAAGAATGTTTATTAACGTTCTTTTACTACTTTTTTTGTAGATTTTAGCCCGGAATTTGGAAATAGCAACCGGTGGTGAGTATTTTCTAGAGCTCTGAACGAGTTGAGTCAAGTCGAGTTATATGTAAACTTGATTCAACTCGAGTTAAATTGAGTCGAGTTGAGTTGAGTTATATGTAAACTCGATTCAATTCAAGTTAAATTGAGTTGAGTTGAGTCGAGTTAAAATTATAAAAAATATAAACTCAACTCGATTCAAGTTGAGTTGAATTAAATCATGTGATTTTATTCAGCTATGCTGATCATTTCCTTTTTTTGGCGATAGCCATTTCACAAAATTCCATTTTTGTAATTTTCAAAAATTTTTCGTCTCAGATTTTGTGTAACATAATTTCCAAAAAAGGAAATTCCATAAATTTGGCCGGAATTATGTTTAATTCGGCTTAACTTGACTTGACTCAATTTTATTAAATTATTAACTCGACTCGAATCGATTCGATTTGATTGTAATTTTCAACTCAACTCAACTCAACTCAACTCGACCAACTCGCGAGTCAATTCGACTCGTTTCAGAGCATTAGTATTTTCAAAGGGGGAAGCAGATTTTTTAATTTTTTTTTATGTGTAAGAACGTTTATTAATGTTCTTTTACTTTTTTTGTAGATCTAATCAAATTTTAATAAAATTTTAATTTAATACTAATAAAAAATGGCTTTAATATATTAAAACCATCATAAACAAATTACTTGTTAAATAAACTATTTATCAAAATAAATTACGTTTATAAAAATAAATTGCCTGTCAAAATACATTCGCAACGTGAAAAGTTTGGCAAATCAGTTCAGTAATTTTACTGAAATGATCAGTAAAATCTACCAAAAAATTTACTGAAACTGATACTGAAAGTATCAATTTGGTAATTCGATTCGGTAAATCACAAAACTGATACCAAAACTGAAATTACCAAAACCGATCAGTAAATTTACCGAAAGGTTCAGTTCAGTAAATCAGAATACTGAAACCGTTTTGATACCAAAATCGATCAGTTCAGTTTGGTAATTACCAAAACTGATCAAAGCCCTAACCTAGAAAAGTTCCTCCTAACTGTCAAGCACTTTACTGCAAAAGGTCATTCATGATAGAAAAGATTAAACTTCTTTTTTGAAAGGATATATTTCCATATGATTGGACAGAATAAGCCTCCCACCTAGAAAGGAATTCTATTCAATTCTTAGTTAGCAAAATATAAGCAAAAAGGATTATAAATATGTACAAAAAATATGGCAAATATTCAAGATGGAGAACTTTGGAGACTATCATGATCTTTACCTTAAGACAGACGTACTCTTATTAGTTAATGTATTCATAAATTATACCATCATGTGTCTGTAAGATGATAGTTTAAATCCTTCCCACTATGTCTCAGCATCAGAAATATTCAACGATTTATTATATAAGAGCAGTGGGGTCGAACTCAAGCTCATGACAGATATGGATGAATATCTGATAGTTGAAAATAGTATCTGTAGAGAAATGACAATGGCAAATCACTGATATACCAAAGCTAATAATCTGAAATGTCCAGATTATGATTTTAGTAAGCTAACAACTTGGATATTATATAAGGATATGAATGCTTTTTATTCAGGTGCAATAACCCAATATATGCTTACAGAAATATTGGAAAAAGTAAGCCCAGAGGAGGTTCTAAACATATAAAGCATTGCATTAGATGCGGACAACTACAATTGCTTATCAGAGGATATTTCATGCTTTATTTGATCTTGTATCTCAATTAACAGAATCATCCCACAATTCAAACATATTCATGGAACTGGTTGGAGCTATATTATAGATGATCTAAATTATACTCAAGCAAAAGCTTTTGGATTAGTATTAAATGAAATGGATGCAACTAAAAATTGGGAGAATCATTTAATTAATGTTTTTAAATCATGCTATGTTCATTTTAAAAGGTAAATATATATATGTATATATAAGTTTACATCTTAAAAGAATTATTCATGCTAATTAATATATTTTACTTTTATGCAGAAAAATTTATGAGAAGAGATATGATGATATTTTAGCAAATGATATGCTTGCACTTCTTACAGCTACTTCTGAAGTTGAAATTAATAATCTATTTAATAAAATTGAAACAAAAAAGCCTGGTTAGTAAGCTTTTATTAATTTCATTTAATATAAAAATTTAATTTTATATTATTTTATTATTAGAATGGGCTACTTTTTATTAACAAAAATGGGTTATTGCTTCTTTAAATAAATGCATATCAAAAATTGATAATGAGACTTGGATAACAACCCCTGATACTACTATAGTGCAGAACCTCTATACTTAACTACTTATGTATAGTAACAATTAATTGATTATAAATTTCTAAAAAAAAAATTTTTTATATTAAAGTAAAAAATTTAACTAATAATTTTTATAGATATGATCATTAGCTTTAAAAATTATCAGTTATTTTTTTTCTAAATTAAATTTTGGCTAAGTTTTAGCTGTTTAAAAATCTGTAATTTAAATATACTGACAAAATTTAGTTAAAATTGAGACTAGTCTAATTTTTGCATTACAGATCTTTTTTAGCCACATTTAATGTAATATTAATTATTATTTTACTTCAGATTTTTTTTTCAATATGCTAAGAAGAAAAAAAAGTTCTAATATTGCAAAAAAAAAAAATTAATAAACAAAATTATTTAAGTATAGGTTAATTTAATGTTATAAATAATGATATTTAAAAGACAGTTCAAATGATAAATTTATAAACAAAAGAATTCAAAAATTAAGTAATTTTACTTTAATTTAATCAAAAAATGCATATAATAAAATATAAATCTCATTATCATGTACCTGATTCATCAATCATCAGTTTATAATGAAATACAATAAACAAATATATTATATAAATTTTTATATTATATAATTAATAAAATTCTAATTTCTGATTGGCTAATATATTTATCACGTGATGCTTATATAATCTAAAAAATTGAGACTTTTTTTTATTTTTTAAATCGATTTCTTTTAACAAATAGAGTTTAATTCTTTTTATAAAATTAAAATTCAATCATAGAATCAAATTTTATTTAAATTTTTTTAAGTTCCTATTATAGAGGTTCTGCACCGTAATATTGCTGAGACTACTCATGCCTTGAGCAATCGGCATGGAAAAAATCTTAAGATTGTCACAGCAATTTTACAGTAAGTAATTGTAATTGATTATTATTATTTAATTTTGTAACTAATAACTTTTATAATAAAGGACGTAAATTGGACAAGGAAAGATTTACCTCTATTCATATACATCAAAAATATAATGTGCCAAATCAAGGACGTGATAAAGGACTTATTGCTCACAATGTTTATCTAATAAACGTCAAAGTAAGTTTTTTGCAATGTGTCATTCGACCGTATTTTATTAGTGTACTATATATCATGAATATTTTAATTTCTTATTTTTATTTACTAATTTTAATAATTTATTCATATATTAGCCAATACAAAAATTAAAAAATCAAATAATACAAAATCAATCCCTATAAAACGAAAACAAAATGTGCGTGCAAGTTCCAGTAAGAAAAAGGCAAAGAAAGCCATTTCAATTATTTCTGATAATTCAGAAGATGAGGATAAATGCCATAATGATAATGATAATAACAAAGAAAATAATGCATCTAAATCATTTTCAAAATTTGATGAGTTAGAATATCAAGAAAGAAATTTAGCACTAAAAGAACGGGAACTTGACTTAAGGGAGAGGGAAGCTAAGGTCCGTATAATGGAATTAGCTAGCTAATTAATTTATAAAATAGAATTTACATGAAATATATTGTATAAAAAAATAAAATTATAATTGATTATAATTGCATTACAAATATTTTTTAAATTGAAAAATTTTTTGCTAAGTAATAAAATTCTTATATTGCGTACTCCACATATTTAAAAGGGGTTTATACGAATGCTACGGAGATGAGTGGTGTTGGATCAGCGTGATGAGTATAGTATGGACCCTATGTGACAGTTTACTCAAGTGATAAATAAACACCTTAGCCCAAGTTCGGTCCAGCAGTTTGGCCGGGTATCTATTCATCATCTGAGTATGCTTCACACCCTTTATATTACACACTGCCAAATGTCACCGTACTATACTCATCACCCTAACCTGACACCACTCCTTTCTGTAATACCAGTTTTATACTTATTAGTGTAACGTACTCAACACCATTTTTAGCACCATACTCCACTCATCATCCTCACCGGACTCCACAACTATTCGTCTCACCTCAAATAAGCACGCTCAAAGATTAATCGATTGCATAAGCTCATGAATTAATATAAATCAACCCATCAACTGACCGATTCTGATGATTTCAACGTTAGTCTATTACTTGATCGGTTATGCTCGGTGATCACATTAGAGTCAATGAGACAAAAATGTTGTTCCTAAATGGTTCGCATTTAGCAAATTAGTAATTATAATCTACAATACAAGATGTAGATGCTTAGAGGCGATGTGGAACTGAATTAGAACCAATAAACCAATTTTCATCTCTAACTGTAACCCATTACGTCAACTTAATATAATCTGACCTTTTTTTTCTTCTAAAATCAGTTGATCAGTGCGAGATTTGTCTCGTTCTTCTCATACTTTAAGGCCGTTCCAATATTGCTTTACAGAATAGGAGTTCGTGCATTTATCGAAGTTGCCCAGAAAGTTTTTAGCCTTCTGTGAGTACTTATCATCCTTTGAGGCAAGGATTTAAATATTCCTTTGCCTGGTCCTTTTGAAAAAATACACAATCAATTCCCTTGAAAAATTTTATGGCTGTAAAGTCATCACTAAGAATCACTTCTTGCAATATTTTAACGTATTCCTCCATATGAAATTAAATTTTATTTTTATTTTATAACAAAATAGCCAAACCGCTACAGGAAATGGGGAGTTCTGAGAATACCGCCAGAAACAGAGTGGACATCTCTATTTTATCACGATTTTGCCAATCATTTTGCCGATCATTTGTCCAATATTGTCACAAAAAAATACTGTTAAGTTTATTTTTTTTACAAACTCTACATAATAATGTATAAAATTTTGATTTTATTTACTTTATTTATATACTATTAATAAATTAATTCATAAAATAGTTCATGAAGATTTTACCAAATATTACTAGCCTTATATTAACTTTAATAATTGCAAGTATTCTTTTAATGATAACTTTTTGTTTATTAAAAATTATCCATGTTTATTTTAGCCATAGATTCTTGAATACTTAAATAATATATTATAAAAGTTTCAAGTTTCGCCCGAACATCTGTGGCTTTGCCTGAAGCTTCAAAGTCAAATTAGCAGATGATCGGCATATGATTTGTAAATACTAATTATTGAATATTTCAGCCCAAATCTAACTTTGGCACTACATTTTTTTTGCCACAATAATTTTATAGTACATTTTTGATAACTTAAATTACCAAACAAAATGATTATAAAATTTTTTTGAGCAAATATGGCTCTGCTTGAAGCCCTCAAAAAAACGTGATAATCAATATATATGATCAGCAAATGATCGGCAAGGTGATAATTAGCTGTTACCGCCGGAGCCGTAGTTGTGTAATAGATACTAGGGGTTAGATAAATTAACGGGGGGGGACAACTTTAGGTTACACAGACTGATCAATAACCAGAACTGTCGCCACCATAAATTGGTTACACAATCGAAATCTACTATAAAATTGCGCAAATTTTTTACTTTTTTATTTTTTTCAACACGTACGCATAGAAAAGCAGCCGATCTCAGAAGTCAAGGTTATGTATGCTAGCTCTATATAGGCAAAGTTTTTTTATTAAAATTAGACCACTGGTTGCTTTGTTCTTAATTTTATATGTTTTTTGCTCTTTTATATAGAAAGTTAAAATTACATCCTTTTTTTTCGAGATTTCAATAAGTATATACTAAATATTTTTATGTAAAACGTTTTAAAATAGCCTTTTCTTCTTTTATTATATATTATTTTTAAGTGTGTAATAAAATTTTATATTTTTTTGAGGTATTTCAAACAGCCGATCCAAAATTTTAAAAAATATAGACAATATTTTCGTGTAGTTTCACATTTCGTCATCACCGATTTATCTTGGTGTTGTTGACGAAATTGTATAAGTAGCTTTCAAGATTTTTCAAAAGATATAATAAGGTTCTGGCTTTCATAACCAGCATTTACCCAGCTTGTAAATCCATTGGGGAGTTGCTTTCTCTGGTGTTGTTGACTAAATGGATGCATGATGATTGATGTAGCGACCTTATTGTATCCGGAGAACTAATCTTGTAAGCTTCCGGTTGCTATCTTAATTCCTAGTTTGTTTTTTTCATGAACATTTGATGCGATAAAACTAAAGCTTCGGAACGTGATTCAACCATTCTTGTCTGCGACACTCGATAAGTATGAAAAATGAAATTCCACCGCCCATTTCAGAAAAAAAATTTTTGATGAAAAAATGCCGATATGGGTGAAACTTCATTAATAATTTTCAGATGGAGGTAGCAAATGAAATGTATGATGCTATCAAAGAAGGAGGGAGAACGCAGATCCTAGGCCATTTAATGCGAGTCCCAGCATCAAGTTATTTCTTTACTCTCTCACATTTACGAAAAGTATCTATAACTAATTTGTTTCTATTTCTATTGCTAATTACGTGATTCTCACCCCACACTCTTTTACTATACTAGATTTCCGAAATAAATTATCCCACCCAATACGAGTTTGATTGATTAGAGATATTGTTAATGCAAATGATGGTAAGTTAGATTGGTTTGATTAGTTTTGTTTGATTTTTATTTTACTTGCATGAGGCAGATAAAAGGATTCACTAGCTGGACATCACTTTTTATACAATTTGTAGGATCGATCTTGTAATACACTTTGAGTCACAAAATTTGATCAATGGCATCCCCTTAATTTAATAATAAAGAATCTAACGTTATCCATATATAAAGATCATCAAGGGACTATACATGATTTTGAGAATATGCGAGAAAGTTTGAGAATAAATTATTTGCGCAATTACTTGTTCCCGTGATACATGTAATAATAATGATTACTATAATATTTTTGCGCAATAAAACTTGTTCAAAAAATAATAGCACACACTTTGCTTCACACAATACTCCATGCAAAAAAATTTTAAACCGTCTGGTAAATTTGTACTATTGTTTTATTGATCAAATTACCAACGTTCCAAATAAAAAAAATCTCACCACTTCTTCGCGTACTCTTCTAAGGGCGTTTCCAAGTGTCTGAAGGGTTCCTAAAAAAAAAAAGAAATTGGAACGTTACTAATGTTCCAAATTTTTTTTAAAAAAAGTACTTTCCTCCTTAAGTATTTTCCAAGGATTCTGTCGATTCCGAAGCATCCGGAATCATCGAATTGATCGGATATCCGATGAACCATCCGATCAATATGACGGATAATCCGATCAGTCCGTAATCCGCGGATGGCTCGGGAGCACAAGTGAAACTTGCGGTAAAAACGTGATTTTAAAGATCATAACAAGTTCCCTTTTATGATTTAGATCACTGATATCACCAAACTTTCAAAGATTAAATAAAAAACAAATTAATGTCTAATATATTTCCCTCAATTTAAATTTATCAAATTATATTATTAAACTCCTGGAATTTTAATTTTAAGGAATGACATCAATTACAAAAACTCAACCACAAATATTATTGCATGGTAGAATTCCACATAATGTTCTCGCTAAATTAGCTTCCTCGAGTTTGAATCAAGTTGAAGAAGTTGGAGGTAATTTATAAAAATGTATGTGATATTTTCAACGCAAAATATATGTTTTATAAACTAAATTGTAGTTTTTTATTATCAGAACATGTATGGAGTATACCCAATGAAAATTCTTGGAATGTTTGTAGAATTTATCCAATAATTAGTGCTTTATCATTATATGGCATTTATTCATAAGACATTTATTTATTTTAGGCACAAACATTTAATAATTATCTATTCTCCATATCTGATAGTGGTAATCATCTTGTTTGGACTTCTGGGAGTCATATTGTAATTTTAAGATTAGATGAAACAAGAAAAGAATTTGAAGTTATTGGAGACGTAAACGGATGTTACGAAAGAGGGTTGGTAGAGGAAGAAATTTTTTTTAAAAATAAAAATAAATAAATTTTATTTATTTATTAAAAAATTAGGGAAAAAATAACTGCTATTTTGTGTTTGCCTTTCTTTACGCCATCGGCTAGAAATAATAAGTATGATTAATGATTTATGATTTATGTTTTTTAAGCAATATTTTATTTACGCGTTTAATTGGTATCAATATTCTTTTTTTGATTCTTAGTCAAATTTTTGTGTTAGTTGGTTATAATACGGGATATCTTAAGATATTTTCGGAGGTGACAACTTTTATCATAACCTATACATAATTTCGCATCCTAATTTGAAATCTAAAATTAATCATCTTATAGACAGGTAATTTATTAATTTCACAATTATTGGATACATCACCAATTATTGCGATAAAACTTCGTACAGCAATCGTTCCAACATTTTCATTACCGTCTCCAACTGAATTGTTATCACGAGAACAAAAATCAGCGTCACATTCATTTAATGAAGCTGATGAAGAAATAACCATATTATTTAAAGGAGAAAAAGTTGTTAGTATAGATGGGAAAAGTTTATGGATGGTTCTTAGAATTTGTGTTGGATCAAATCAATATGATAGTAATAATACATTGAGTAATTCAACAGGAGAATCTAGTACTGGTCAAGTACCTGGTGGGGCAACTTCTTTTGCATATAAAAAATGGCATTTTGAAGGGCAAGAGGATGTTGTTGATGTTGTTAGTTGTGGTGAGATTTATACTTTAAATAATACTTGCATTTCCTAGATTTAATAGAAATAATAAGATTAGGCTATGTACCAAATATATAGGACCATCTCATTATTGGACAGCAAGTATAACAGATCAAACATTCTCAACAACTACAACAGCATTATTTACGTCAAATGCTACGGCAAGATATATTGCAGTTGGATCAAATCCCATGTTATCATATTATGCTACAACAGATTCAAGTAGACCATTTCTCTTGGCCGCTAGTATGGTAGCATCAAGAGTTACAAATGCCGTATTTTCTTTAGCAAAAACATTGTTAACTGTTACGGGAACAATGCCTTCTGTTGGAGAAGTTTCTTCATCAACAGCTGCTACTAATATACCACCTGCAAAATCTATTCCGCTTATACTTTCTTTAAATGATTCAAACAGACAAATTTTATCAATCGTCATGTCACCTGCTGCTGCTGATGGAAAATATCAATTAGCTGCGTTAACTGATTCATTGGGCAGGGTAATTTAAATTTTTAAATTTATTTATTTATTTGAAAATTGAATTCTTACTACCAAAGTATTTCCATATTAGGTAACATTAATTGATGTTGAAGAAGGAGAAATCATTGTAATGTATAAGGGAATTAGAAATGCTCAATGTGGATGGGTTGAAGCTATTGAAGATGATGATACGGATGATGATGAGAAATCTGGTGATAGTGCTCCATTCTCTTTTACAAGAGGCATGAAATATAGTAAAAGAATTGCATTATTTCTTATAATATATTCACCACTTCGTGGTATTGTAGAAATTCATCATATGCGTCATGGAATTCGCGTTGGTCATTTCTCAATTGGACAAGGATGGCATGTTGTCACTTCAGTTTCTGCTCCACTTGGAGTTAGTATGGGAGGTGGAATGGGTTTTTATGAATCAGGTAGGAGAGGATGTAGAAATGCTGGATTGGCTAAATGTTTTTTAATCGGCCCACAAGGTGAAATGAAGAAAGTTCATGTTCCTTTTGGATGTGCAATTAAGTAATTAATATAAGATTTTAATAATTTCATTAATTCATTAATTTTTCGAATGAAATTAAGTTGTTTAATCGCTGTCTTTTTAGGAAGAAAGTTGATCATATTAGTGTATTCAAGAGTCTTCTGCGCAAATATGAAGCAGCAGCTGCGGATAAAAAGGATGTTCATTCACAAGAACTCATGAAAACTCTTGATTTGATAACGGATCCTAAAATAAAATTTGAAGTTAGTATAACGTTTTTTTATATCTTAATTAAATTATAACTGATTTATACCATTAATTAGGTGTTGACATCACTTCCGGATTCGTTAGCTCCAACATTTCATTTACTTGCAACACAATCTTCGATAGATTCAATGCAAATGTTGGATTCATTGGATTTCTTAGAATTTATTCATGATATTCAAGATCAATCGTCTAAAGGAATTGATCAAGATGATAAAAAATTAATTCGTTTAAATTTAGTTTTAAGAGAAAATTTGTTACACCTTTATCAAACTTTAGAAGGATGGAATGTTGAAAGTTCTGATAATCGCGATAATGTAGATGCAATAGTTGTAGGACATGATGATAATTTACCTGTTGCTGACAATGGAACATTTATACAATCAGTAAAATATCATTTTAAAGAATATACGAATACTGAGGATACTAAACATGAAAATGAGACAAGAGGAATTGGGCCGAGTTCTTTTATGTCTGCTTTCTTATTAAAAAGCTTAGATACATTAGCAGATAACGACTCCTTCTTGATGTTAGATAATAAGATAAGTGAAACAAAAAAGTGGCAGTTATGTAAGTATCTTTGCTTAGTCCAGTGTTTAAACCATCAATTGTTTCTGTTATAAAATAATGATAGTTTAAATATTTTTAATAGCCAGCTTTTTATTAACGCCATTAATAATATCAACATCACCCAATGAATGGATTGAAACTATAAGAAAAAGAATACCAATTTCAACAAAAAATTGGCTTGAATTATTTTTATATTGGTTTGAGCGAACTAGTTTGACATCATTAGTTAATTTTATATTAAAGTCAAAAAATGATTATTCAAATTTTTTGGTTATTATTTTAAGTGACTTTTCTTCAATTGCAACCAATTTAGAAAGTAATTCCATTTCAGATAGAATTATTAATTATTGTTTGAATACTGATAAGGTATAATTATTTTCAGTTTATAGAAAATAATTTAAAGAAATTTTTAAATTTATTTGTTATTTTAGATTGGACATGCATTATTATTGTCACTTGCATGTCAATATGGTCAATATGGAAATCCACTTATAAATAATTATGAGGTAAGTTGTGAAATTTGTTTATAATTAAATCTTTTAAGTAATAATTAATTTTTTTTTTTTCATAATAGATTGATTGGAAATCTTTAGTGGATAAACTGGTGAATTGTTGGAATTTGATTAAAGATACACCTCCAATCATAATTGCGGAAATAGGATTAACTGCCTCAAATCTTAACAAGGTTCTATCTTTACTAAGCAAAAAAAAAAAAATTAATTAATTACGTTAATACGTATTTACCCTTTTAGTTTGAGAAGACTAGTTTAACAAGGATAACATCCATTAAAGATATTAGATTAGATGAAAAAGCCAATTCAGAGGTAAAATGATACTTTTTTTAAAAAATGTTATTAGTTCTTAACAAATAATTTTTACAATTTTTTTTATCATAAAAGATAAGCACTTCGATTCCGCCTAAGTCAGATTTATATTGGATTTATAGAAGTTGGACATTTGGCCAATTATTTAAAAAGGATACAAATAATACTGGTAAAATTTTATTTTATTAATTATTATTAATTATTAAAGAACTCCATTTATTATATTTATTTATTTAATGATTTTGACAGATTTATTGAGAATAGCAATTGAACAAACAAAATTTATAAGTAACGCGGCATTAAGAAATGGAATATTATATGTAATATGGAATTCATTGATTATGGAACAAATTAGTTCTATTAATATATTAGTCGAAAAAGCACGTAAAGCTCCAAAGGACCTTTTATGTATTAAACAATGTAGTATGGGAGGTAAGTAAATAATAGTAATTTATATTGTAATAATTTTTTTTTTTAATTAACAATCAAAATAATTTTATAGTTAAGACGATAGATTCATTCTTGCTTTCATCAAAGTTATTGTTTGAGTCATTTACTTGGGAACCTGAAGAAGTTACACATATGTCACATATTTGTAATACGGTTGAGTCTATTATATCAATCCCTGAAGATATTGAGAATAAAGAGATGTATCTTAATGATACTATTGGAATAATGCATAATTTAATTAAAGTAGCGGATAAATCACAAGAAATAAAAATAATTGATAAGTAAGTATATTTCCAGTAAAGAAATTTTGTTTTAAAAATAAATTTATACTTTGTTAATTTATTAATTTTAACATAATAGAAATCTTGTGGAAAATTTCATTGAATTAATTCATATATTATTACTTGTATTTCGTATTGAAGTTCGTATGATTAGACCTTCAAAATTATTTGAATCAAGTTTATCGTTTTTTAAACCATTATATTATACTAAAGAAAGTAATATGGAAAGAATAAATAATAATACAAAGTAAGATCTTTGATTTAAGTATAATTATATATAAATTAAATTAACTATTTATATATATGTAGGATTGGAGAAGAAAGAATATCATTTTTAAAGAAATTAATTGATAAAACACCAAATTATCTTGATGATATTTTATGGATAACCAAAAAATTTGAGTTAGATGAAAATGATATAAGGAATTATTGGAATTCTAAATATGAAAAGTGAAATTGTGAACACCGAGTTAATTTAGGTGATTGTTAAATTATTTTATTTATACTGCATTTCTTTTGATAGATTGGCTTTATTAACTAAGATTGTAACGTAAATCTTTAGTAATAATAATTCATATGATATATCATATATCATACATAATCCAATCATTTTCACTATTTTAAATAACTAATTATTTTAATATGTCAAATGTCATCATCATTTTATATTGATAAATTATAAAGATAATAAGTAATTTATGAAATAATGCGTTTTTAAATGAAAATCGAAAACATTAGGACAATAAACAATGTATATATATAGCTAACTAATAATAAAAATCTCATTTCCATCTAATTTTTAATCAAATATCTGATTTTTTAGATCTTTTTTTCTCTCTCTCTTTCTTTTTTTTCTCTAATGGGAAGTTAAATTATAAACCAATTAATTACATTATTTTTTTGGGGGGAAAATTCCTATATTGGACATTTTTGAAGGATGGAACAGTGATGGAACAAATAAATTTAATCAAAATATAAACAAATATTCACGGGAAGTGATTAAAGTGAAGAAGTGATGATCAATGCAGTAATGCATTGAAACATTTTTTGTAAATGACGCGTATCAGTGATACATGACTATTTCTTTATTTAAGAGAACCAATTAAAATCGAGAAAAAAAATATTTTTAAAAAAGGTAAGAATTGAGAAATACAAAATTATTGGTTAAATTTAGCCCAATCTATATAAAATCATGTGAAAAATAAAGTCTATCTTGAAAAATTGAAGAATTGAGAACAAAATATATATATATATAATTGTTTGTATGTTACGATTTACGAAATTATTAAATAATTTCATTTGAAAGAAAGAATAAAGAAATTATTTTTTTTTTTTCAATCCAATAAATAACTTGCATTTTATATTTATTTTTATTCCCATGAAGTTAACATAAAGAAAGAAATAAATAAACTTGTTTATAAGCATTATAAACGGGGATAAAAGATTCAAAAAAAAAAAAAAATATGTATNAAAAAAAAAAAAAAAAAAAAAAAAAAAAAAAAAAAAAAAAAAAAAAAAAAAGAAAGATTACAAAATTTCAAAATAACTTTTTTTTACCGTTTTTAAAAAAATTTTAATTACCAATAAAAATTTATAAAAAAGATGATTTATAAACAAATAATAATATTTATTTCATTATTCGGAATAATTAAATATCTTTGATATCTAGAGAATATTTGATGATAAATTGTGTAATAAATAGAGATCGATAAAAATAAAAAAATTTTTCTTTCTTTCTTTCTTTCTTTTTAAAAAAAAAACACATTTTCTATAAATAAATTATAAATAATAAATTATAATAAACAATAATTAATTATAATAATAAAATATATTTAATTTTTTTATTTAAGGTAAAAATAATAATAATAAATATATATAATAAAGTAAATTAATATAGTTTTATTAATTATACTAGTGTTTCGTTACATTAGTTTCAATTTTAATTAACATTACCAACATTTTTAAAACAAATTGAAAAAAAAAAAAAAATGGAATTCAAGGATTATCACCTATTATTCACTAAAAACACTAACTAAAATAAAAAAAATTTTTTTTTTAAGCAAGGGTTTTTAAAGTTTCATTAATTCAAAATTTTCTAAAAAATTAGTTTCAAAAAGAATATTATTTTGTAACGAAAGGGATATTAAGGATCAGGGATAATTTTAAACTTAGACGAATATAAAAAAAAAGCGAAATTGTACGTAATATGATCACCTGCATTTTTTTTTTACGCCAGATTTTATGTTGTTAATCGTTTGAGGTTTGAAAGCTGAAACTCATAAACAATAGCAGGATTTTTTTTAAAGCTAAACATATTTAAAAAATTTCAGATTGCATTTTATCTTATTACACTAATTACTTTTTATGGAACTTTTGAAGCACCAAATTGAATGACTTCCTTGTGAGACTTTTCGGGTAATTTTAAGAAATTTTATGAAAAAAATAAAATAAAAAAAAATTAAATTAAAATAAAAAATAAAAAAAATAAAATAAATAAAATAAAAAATTATTTTTATATTATATTGAAAGAAAAAAAGCATAACAGATAATGCGGACTAATTAATTACAACATCATTGAGTATTTTTAAATTGTAACAATTGTAACGAAAATTATTTTTTAAAATTTATAACGTAATGCAAAGAAACAATGTGAGCCGCATATTAAATAAAAAATTCTTAAAATACATAAAATACATTAATTTTTGTTTGTTGTTTATTTTAGCTCGGAAAAATATGTAAAAAAAAGTGTAAAAAAAATTTCAAAAAGAAAAATAAAGGGAAAATCATGAAAGGTTAAAAAAAAGCTCATAATGATAGGTGCTTCTTTCTTAATTAACTAAATAAAGACAAGAAAGAAAAATTATAATTATAATTTTTTTTAGAGAAATTATCTTTAATGAATTATTTGTAACATTTCTCCTTTTAAAAAAATCAATTATTTCTTAACGATAGATAAGATTAATATTATTACTGTCTCTTATACACATCTAGATGTGTATAAGAGACAGCATAATGATAGGTGCTTCTTTCTTAATTAACTAAATAAAGACAAGAAAGAAAAATTATAATTATAATTTTTTTTAGAGAAATTATCTTTAATGAATTATTTGTAACATTTCTCCTTTTAAAAAAATCAATTATTTCTTAACGATAGATAAGATTAATATTATTATTTATAATGATTATTTATTTTTTTTTTATGAAACCTTTTTTATTTTGATCTTCCTAACGATTTAGAAAGTGGGGCTTATTTTATAATTATAAATAGAGTTTTATACAAGTGTTCATGTAGATGCGCTGTGATTTCATAAATAATGATAAATTAAAGATTTCTATATTTGGTAATGTGAAAATTCCATAATTGTTAATCATTGCCAAATGTATAATAGTATGACAATTTGATTTCTTTGTATGATTATACTATTACACGTTTTTTTTTTTTTTATATTAATTATTTAAAAAAAGGATGATACGTAGTGCAATATGTATAGTATGGAATTTTCTCATTCCGCTGCTCACTTCTCCTTGGAAATATAAATAGTGCTATTTTTCCAACATAAAAAAAAAAAATTTTTTTTCATCCCATACTTTTTTTTTCTTATCGTAAAAAAAAAAAAACCTTCTCTTTTATTTTAATTTTATTTTATTTTATATTTTATTTTATTTGGTTTAGTTTATTTTCTATTTTTTATTTTTTTCTAAAATATATACATTGTATACGCAGTATTAAAATATATTTACATTATAACGTTAAAAAATATGAATAATAGTATTATTGCAGTCGATATCTTACCGGATGATGATGGAAAGGTTATGATGTATGGAGCACCTAATAAAGATACTACATATTTAGTTTCTGGTAAACTACGTATTATATTATCAAAACCATTAAAAACAAAATTAATTTCAATCAAATTAAAAGGAAAGTCCGAATATTCAGATTGGGAAAATCAATATTCATGTATTTATTTACTAAAATTGGAAAAAGTTTTACGTGAAAAAACAACTTTACCAAGTGGAGTAACAGATTTAGATTTTGAATTTCAAGTTAATGGGAATATACCACAAAGTTATGTCACATCCTTTGGTCTTATAAGATATAATTTGGTAGCTACTGTACAACCAAGTTCTTTATTATTAAAACAAGGTAGAGCTGAAAAATCCATTAATATTTCAAGACATTATTTACCTTGTAGAAGAGAACTTTTACCTGCTCCTCCTACTAAAGTTTATCGTGGTCAAAGAAAAAATATTTTAAAATATGAATTAGATATTCCAACTGTTATTTGTATAAATGAAACTTCTTTATTAATTAGATTAAGATTATTTCCTCTTTGTAATCAAGGAAGAGTTAAAAAAGTTGCTTTTGATTTGATACAATCTGAAAAATATAGGTGAGTATTTTATTTACCCTACATTTTTTTTTTTTTTTTTTTNCGTGGTTCTGGACAAGTTTCTAACGATTCTAATGGTACATAAATATTTTTTTTTTTTTTTTTTTTTATATATATATAGAATTCAACCAACACCTCAAGATTATCAAGAATTTTCAATTGAAAATGCTCAACTTATTGGAAATGTTCAATTAAATAATAATACGTCAGCAAAACGAAAGAGATCACATCCAATTAAACCAACTTCTTTAAAGATTATTTATGATCAAGATACTTGGGAAAATCCTTTAACTTATAATTTACCTTTTGAACAATATAGTACTCGTAATATTAATAATCCAATCAAAAAAACAAAATTAAAAGCGACTATTAAAAGTCCTTTAATGCGTGTAAGGCATAAATTAAAAATTACAATGACTTTTGAAGCTTTAGAAGAGAAAACTTTAGAATTAGGATTTCCTATAACTGTTACAACTTTACCTGGTATGGAAGCAGCAAATCATCATTTTAGAACAAATGAAGATTTTAATGAAATTGAATTACCAGCTTATGATGATGTTTTTAATCATACTTTATCTCAAGATGGTGTTATTTCACGTCCTATAACTCCAAGTGATCATTCTGAAACTCATTCAAGAAGTAGTACTCCAAATCTTTATGAAGATGTTGGTAGTGGTGATTCTAATATTTCTCGTCCTGTTACTCCAACTCCTCCTCCTCCTTTCTCTGATGAGTCCACAATTAATTTAAATACACACACATCGCATACAACAACAAATACATCAAATACGGCACTTACATCAAATACATCTCATACATCACATACAATAAATAATACATCTCATACATCTCATATTACAAATACGACAATTCTCTCTTCATCCCCTCCTGATAGTCAATTACTATCTCAACCTCAACCTCAATTAAATAAAAAGAAAAGTCAACGTTCATTAGCTCAGGCTTTAGGAAGGTTACTTTTACGTTCAGAAAGTTCTTCTCGTCCAAATTCTCCTTCCCCAAGTGCTTCTACAACACCAACTGTATTAACACCAGTTACATCTTCATATCCAAACAATAATAATCGCTCAAGAACTCATCCTCAATTGGAAGTAACTCCTTCTTCTTCCCCAACTTTTGCTCCACATAATCAACCTACTTCATCTACAAATTCAACAAATAATATAGTTTATCAAGGAATAGGTAATTTATATACTCGAACTGGTCGTGCAAGTTGGTATCTTAATATGCCTGATGATGATGATGCTCCTACATTAACGCCTGAAATTCATTCTGCTCCTTCAAGTCCACGTGAATCTTTGGTTCATATCCCAAGTTCAAATAATCTTCTTCCTCCTCCAAATCAACAAAGGCGCAATAAAAATAATATACCCTCAGATAGAATGATTCATAGAAGATCTATTTCTTTTGATTCTTCTCTTACTCAATCAATAATAAATGAATCTTCAATTCCTTCTGGTTCATCTACCACTCAAACAAGATCTAATAATGATAACCCTTCCGAAAACTCTTCAATTAGTTCTTTATTAAGACATCCTAGTATTAATAGTCTTAAAGGAATGGTAAAACGTAGGAAAAAACCCGCTACTATTGATGATAATACTTCAAGACTTGCAATCAACAGAATCGATATAAATATTACTATACCAAGTCCAACTTTAGGAACTTATAATTTAAATTGAACATTATTTTTTTCACTTGTAAAAAAAAAAATTACCGAAATGCATTCTGCAGTTCGGATTAATCTTGTAAACTTTTTTTGTTGTAATCTGAATTTAACATTATTTTATATAATTTTAATAATGAACATTTTAGAAGAAAAAAAAAAAACTAGAAATTTTAATTTTATATATTATTATTTTATTCCTTTATATTTGTATAATAGTTACTAATTACAATAATTTTTTTTTTCATTTTTAATTTTAATATTTTAATTTTTTTTATTTCATTTTTATTATGTAAATAAATTGAAATAAAATTAAAATTCAAATTATGAATTTTAAAGTTCAAACCTCATTCGTTTTTTAAAAATGAACAATTAACATTTATCCGTTGCAACTTGCAAGTATAATAGTTAAAAAAATCTGCAAATGCAGTATAATTCGTATAATCCAATCCTATAAAGCAGATCGTATGACAATAATTTATGATTTAAAACAGGAATAAAAATAGATGGTGCAAACCGAACCGGTGATAACCCTGAACTGATCGACCTTATCCAATCCAGATCAAACTTTGATCGGAATGATGCGTTGATTCAAATTGATCATATTTTTATACCACAAAAGGAGAGTTATAAAGTTCAATTTATTTTTGTCATATGTTAAAAGCACATGAAGTCATGAATACATGAGTAAAATATCCCTGTGACAATATTATTATAGAAGTAAATTGAATAAAATCATCACTTTTAAAAATATTTTTTTTTTGGTTATAGATGATATAGATGTTTTATGAAGAATTCACCTTACTAATTTAAAATAATAAAATGATTTACTCTTTTTTATAAAATATAAAAATTTTTTTTTATAAATTGCAAAATAGACTAAAAATCTGTCTTTTATATATAAAAAAAATATTCGATAATAAGAATAATTTTATTGTATTAAAAACTTAATTAAAAATGGTATTTTTTTTTTAAAAAAAAAAATTTTTTGTATTTTTTTTTTTTTCATGAAAAATGCGCACAAGACAAATTATACAGTGATAAAATAGTAATAATTATTTTTAATCATCGGATTTACTGTTCTAGTAATAATTTCTTGAACGTGATTAACTATATATTTTTAACTTATTGATTGTAAAATCTTTAAAATTAAAAATTTTAAACCTACATTCCTGATTTTCTTTCCACCATTCTACTTACCAGGCATTCCATACACTGCTTTTTTAAATTTTTTGATGCCGGCTCACAAAAATCTTTTAGAAAGTTCTATATAAAAAATTTTTTTATTTTTCGAAGTCTGATCAAGAATAAACACTTTGATGAATTACATTATTAATCCTGAATTGGAAGTCAGAGGAGAGATTGCAACAATTGATATTGTCATCTAATTGAATCTGGAACTCTTGATGCGTCAAAAGGATGTTACTTGTTCATGGACAGATGGTAAAGTATGGATAAGATATATCATCAGAATAATATGAAGAGAAATATCCAGAAAAGTACTACATACCCATTGTTGAAAAGACTGTTCTATTACACAGATTCTCTGCAAATAACACAATAGAAAAGGAATACCAGGTATGTTTACAACTTATACACCATAGTGATCATGTTCAGATATGTTTTATAATAAGAATGATGTCTTCTAATAATCTAAAATGGGATTACTTTTGCCAAAATGCAAAATGTTAGGTAAATATCAGTATTCAAAGCTCATCAAACTGTAATGAAGAAGCAAGCATTGGCAAGAACTGATAATGAATTCCATATGGTTATTGATATATGAATAACAATAACAATTATACTGTAATCTCTGAAATAAAGATTACAAAGTCCCTATGAGGCCTGAAAAGTATGCAATAGATCACAAACTTGTTATCTTAGGCTTTATTAAGAAAATTGTCGTCAAATAAGGCAAAATTAATATGTAAAAGAAGATATGACGACGAATTACAAAAGTACTAAAGATGTTATTCAATTGGCTATTCCATTCTCCTGAAGTGAGCGAAACGGATGAAGAAGATCCAACAAAGTTAGCTATTTTGAAACTTTTATTAGATCGTTATTTCACATAGTTGGCTTCGCATAACAATAAGTCAACAACATCTTTTGTTTTTAGGAAATTCAAACCATGAACAAAGGATTGAGAGAAATAATCGATGCGACAATCACCATATATATGTAATGACAAATCTGATGGAAAATTTGAAATTTTAATAAATTTGACAGAAAAATCAAAGTTCTTAATAAAAGTTCTGAGTCTTTAATGAAAAATTCACAAAGTTTTCAGCAATAAAATCACTGGAAAATTCAAAGTTCTTAATAATGAGTTTGGCAATTATTAGTAATTTGGTAATACTATTACTATTAATTGTCTTCAATTCAGATGAAATTATTGTTGTTGTTTCAATTATTATTAATACTAAAATAATATTAAATTTACAACTTAAATATTGTAGTTTATATTGCTTAACATGTCTAATAATTAATGTTAGTTAATAATTTAAAAAAATTTAACTGCGAATTTGTAATTTGAATGATTAATTTTATAAAAAAATGATTTGTATATAATAAAATGCTTTTTTTTTAGAATTCACGTATACTAATAATCTAACTGATAATAACTTTACACATATTTAAAACATACCAATTGAGAAAAAACAAAATCATTGCCAATGTCTTAGCTATGACTTTGATTGCATTCTGCAATTAAGTAACATATTTACATTTATCCGGTAATCAAAAATGCAAGGTTTCAATCATAATATTTATTTTTCTTGTATATATTATTATTTCCTATGTATCGAGAATTAATTGCATGATGATTAATTTATATTTTCCGATGTGCAGTTGCATGCATTGCTGGTTAAAAAGACGGAGATAAGCCACATTAAGATCAAGGGTTTATAGTTTCATTGGTATCATTGGTATAAAAATTACTATGTTCAAATTCTAATTATCAATTATATTGTGCAAAAAACCAACATTACATGAATAATGATATATATATATATATAGGAGTTTTCTTAGAATAGTATATAAGCAACAATGTAGATAACGAGTCATATCTCTCCTCCTTTAATCCTGTCTCTTATACACATCTAGATGTGTATAAGAGACAGTATTTATGCTATACATTTCATAGAGTTTGATTTATTAAATTTTTTACATATCAATCATGATTTATTTCAACATCAACCAATGATTTCCAATCAGAGGAATTGACTAACACATACGAAGCATTACCCCTCCCCTTTAATCACACCAGAAATTACCAAGCTTAAAGTAATGCTTTAAAGTTGAGAAAACTGAAGCTGAAGATAGGAATGATATCCTGCAAAAAAGTTCCTTTTACATTTATAACACAATCTCTCTTCTTTTCCTTAGTTGTTGTTTTTCTTCACTATCTGGCAATTCCCTTAATACTATTCTTGGGTCTTTTACTTATCTTATTTAGTCATGTTTTTTTACTGAAGTTCCCCAACTTTGGGAACGCTATTTTACATATAATTTGTAAAAACGTATTTAAATAAAATGTCGATCCTAGTGGATTGTTATTAACGGTCGTAATCAAATCTCGATAGCTTAACATAATACTTTTATTGAGTAAAGACCTATATTTTTAACCCTACATCTAATAATTATAATATATAATGCAAAATTATTACTGTGATATATTATTTTATTACTAATAAATAGAAATTAAATTTTATAAAAAAAAAAGATCATATTCAATAAATATTTCAATAAATACTAACTAATATTACTAAGTCTATAAAATATTAAATAATTACTAACTACATTTAATTTACTTATTCTGAGAAAAATTTATTTCAGATGTTTCAGAATTCTGATTTTCTATTATTTCTGAAGAAATTTCTGTTGTATTAGTTTCTAGCATTTCAGGTAAAGCTGGATAAGAACTTGAAGAACCTTCAATATGCGAAGTTGGAAACATTCCATGTGTTGGTTTCCAATTGTGTTTATGCCCTTCGCTATATATATCTTCTAATACTTTTTCAAATTTACCTTCTGACTTAAATTGAAGATATTTTTTATATATTAATAAAGCCTATAATGTAAAAAATTATTAATTATTGAAATAAAATAAAATCCAATTACATAATAAAAATTAAATAGGATCCTTACTGTATGTGCATCTTCAATGCTATCATGTGTATCTGTTTGAATATTTTGATTAAGAAGATACCATGCTAAGAACCTTAGTGATATTTTTCTATTAAATAGTAAAAAAAAAAATTAAAAATAAAATTTTTGATTCACAATTATCATTCTAGTATGTTTTACCTTTGTCTATTTTTAATGTGAAAAATATCTACAGTATCAATGACTTGTTCAGGTGGAACTAAAATATCTAAAATAATACATTGTAGTTAATTTTAAATAATTTTTTTATTCTATTTTTACACAAAATTCAACTTACTTATAATACGAAAATCCTTTTTCAATCCATGACCAACAAGAACACAACCAAGGTCAAGAAGTAATCGTAATTTTTTATAAGCAATCTATAAATAAAATTTTTAATTAATAATTTTTTATATAATGAATAAATTTACATACAGTACCTTTAAAGGAACTAAAGTGTGCTTAGATGAACCTGGATCCAAATCACCAGCTAAATTATTTAAATAATGTTAAAAATTATAATTCTACCTTTATTGACAACAAACAATTTATTCAAAAAAAACTTTCACCTTTAATTCCAGAATATTCCGTTAAATAATCAACAACCGGTTCTGATGCAGCAATATAATCATCAATAAACGGAAAGCCTTCTTTTGCTCCTTCACCGCGCAAGACACTAACACGTGCTAAACTAAGACGACTTGGACGAATTACTGATTTTGTTCCATCACTTCTAATTTCTGTTTCTTCCTAAAAATGTTAAAAAATTGTTAAACATAGTTTTCATAAATAATTTATGAAGAAAAAATAAATTTACCTGACTTAAAGCTACAAATTCAGCATCAATTGCTACTAAAGTTCCTGGTTGTGGCAACTCTTCTGGTGTCAACAAATCAACTGATTTCTTATTAGTTGAATGATGCCTATTATGTAAATCAATAAATATAAGTAACTTATTTTATTAAACGAAAAAATTTGTATTCCTTACTTTGATATTGAAATATCCTTAAATAAGATGGATTTATCAATCTCTGAAGGTAAATCACTAGTATCCATCAAATCTGATATATCAACTCTTGAATAATATAATACAACGGGCATCTAAATATGGCATAAATTATTAGATTTATTATTATTGTTTATTTTACAAAGGATTATAACTTGCCTTCCAAACTCCTTGAAAATTGAAAACTTCTTGTTCGGTAATATTCTTTACAGAAAAATCATTAAAAAGATACCAAGGACTTTTACTTGTAGATTCCAATTCACTTTTAGGTACTATTGAATATTTATAGAATTAATAAAGTGATTTTTGTAAATATTATGAGAAAATATAATAAACTACCTTTAATAAAAGCAACTAAATGAGGTATTTCTTTTTCAACTCTCACTTGAGAAATTATGGCCTATAAAATCAATTTTGTTACTAATAATTAATAATTCTTCAATTCTTTTGAATCATGATTTGATTTGCGGTTAAAAAATAATCCTTTAAAGATATAAAGTTTACCATTAATTCGTAATTAGCATGTTTTGAACTTCCACTAGTATTGATATCTACAATTGCATCAGATGATAATTCTTTCACAGTCAAAATATCGTCATCATCTATATCCATGGAAACTCTATGAAATCGAAATCAATAAATTTATAGAATTTTTATATAAATCTTTGTAAAAAAAGTTATATTCTAAACACCTTTCTGGTAACCATGCATTTTGTCCATCATGCGTTCTCCAAATTTCTAAAGGAACTGATGTTCCCGCACCGCAATTTATTGATAATACAGGAGGTAAACTTTTTGGAATCTTTTTAGCTATTGTAGGAACATATTGCTGGCAATTATTGCACCAAGCCCTCTGTTGAATTTCACGTTGAATACTTGTCCGTAAAATATCAACAAAAGCTTTAGTTTTCGATTCTCTTTCTTTTCCTTTATGTGACTTTTATAAAGGACTGAGTTAAAATTAAAAATAATGAAAATAAAAATTAAAAAACAAATAAAAAATAAAAAAATTTACTTTGGAAGAAAATTGTAAATCCACAACAAATGAAGTCGTTAAACGATCTGTTTGTGTCTCACATTGACACTTGCTTATTGAAGCAACTTGCATTCCAAATAATTGTTGAATCATTGAATGAGATGTTTGTTCTAATGGAAGAGACTTTAACAAACGTGGATTATTATTCGAATTACATTCTTGATGAAGTTGTTCAAGAATGAATCGATTAAAGTTCTGAATGAGCATCGAATAAGGTGTATTTTCATCTGGTTCATCGGGTTCAAATAATCCAAGAGCCAATGCTAATATAATATAATATATATAAATTCCCGTGTTAATAATAATCATAAAGATCATTATATTATCGAAGAACAAATTTTCCTGATAATTTAATAAGTTTACCTTGTGGAATTGTACTGAAAGCCCTCAAGAAATTTGAAGCTTGACAATTCCTTCCCCTAGCATTTTCCAACATGCGAAACAAGAAACCAAGTTCACAGCATAAACAATTTTCTTTTGTACAAGCTGTACCAATATGCGACCTAGTTATTAAACGAAGAACTGGTGTGAAGAAAAGAACTTGTAATAAAGAATTACAATAGGAATTCGCTATATGGGTTTCAAGTCCTGCATAACGACTTTTATTATAGAACCTATAATAATTATAAAAAAAAAAAATTAAATTAAACAATAAAGCCGTTTAATAGGAAAACTAAGTTAATTTTAGTCACACTCACTCAAAATCGAAATCATCTACCCCAAATCGGCTATATTGAATCTCTACTCTTTTATAATATTTAGGCATTTTAGTACTCGTTGCGTCCAATTCGGCTTCATTATCAAATAATGAAGAAGGTCCCTATTAAAATATATCATAAATTTCATGAAATCATTAATTTTTTAATAAACTGATAAAAATAAATAATTTACCCTTGAACTCTTTCCGGATTGTAATTCTCTTTCCTTCTCAGATCTAAATTTTGGCGTGCCATCTTTGTGCTTTTTCCTTGAATATCTTACAACTTGATTTCTTTTCATATTTCCTGGATTTGGAGAGTATCCAACAAAATCTATCATCTTCATATTATTTAAGATATCAGGATCAATTTTTGGTGGAGGATTTCCAACCTCAAACCTCATATTTGATGGCCATACGGAAAGTAATGGCTCTTTATAATATGGCATACCAATTAAAGATAATGAACTAAAAAAATATATAGAATTAGTTCTACATACATAAACTAAGCATATAAATTTAATCTCACCTTCTCTCGCTGGTAGTGATATTTGGTGGTGTTTGGATTGTAGGTAATTCAATAGGATTGGAATATGCATTTATTTTTGCTTCCTTCCTATCTTCCCAAAGATGTACAAAACTTGCAGCATCACCAAATGCGAGCATTTCCCCAGAAGCCGATAAATCAATAGCGTTTACATAACTAGATGTGTTTACCTTGAAATTCTCACTACGTTACTTTTACTTCCTTTTTTTAAAAAAAAAAATATAAAAAAATACCTGATAAAAATGTATATCTGAAGTATTCCCAATATCACAAACATGAAATTGACCTGATCGAGATGCAATAAAAACAGTAGTCGAAAGTTTTGGGTGCATTTTAAGGAAACAAGGACCAGTGGGAAATGGCATCGGAACAAGTGGGCGCATTGTTCTAATGTCATATACTTTAACTAAAGGATCGATAATAAGGTTCCCATGCCTTAAACAACAATATATGCGTGAATTTGAGATTCATAAATATAAATGATCCAAAATTTAATCATTCATTAATCATGAAAACCTTGCCGAAGATCCGCAAGTCAACAATAAATTTCCAATAGTATCGATATCTGAGATGGTACCAGTATGTGCTTGAACACGGTGTTCTACCTTAAATGTTCGTGGATCCATTAATGTAACTTCTCCCGAATTAGCACCACAGCAAATCAGCCTTGATTTTCTCATCACCACAATATCACTTTCAGATTCCACCTATGCATATCAAATAAATTAATTAAAAATCGACCATTAATGATATTCCTATAAGTACAATATAAGTACCTTTTTAACAACAATGCCTCTTGCAACATTAATAACCAACATATTATGTTGTTTTCCTGCGGCTAAAATTTCTGAATTTGGCATGGTTGTATAAGTCATACAATGCAAATCTGTAGTATCTTCATTGCTGTTTGTTCATTAATTAATAATAAATTCTAAAATCTATTTACATTATTCAAAAAGATTGAAATGAAAGTAATAACATACCTTAAGGTCCATTTAATCAATCCCCTTCGATTAGTCATTTTAACAGAATCAGAACATAATGAAATTACACCTTTATCACTAACTAATATTTGTCTAACTGGATTTAAATGTGCACGAAAGCTTGTATAACGGTGCAAGCCACTACCAAAATGGGAAGTAACTCGACCCTTTAAAGAGAAATAACATTAATTAATTTGCATTCATATATAATATTTTGTTTACTTTAATCAACCTGGTTTCATAGGATAAAAAATAAAATCTTTTTAAAAATCGATTCTCTTTTCTAACGAATTTTTTGTTTACAAAGTCAATGGCATTGTATTTCATAACTAAATACCTTTTCATTTCCGGTCCATAATAATTCTTGATATGGATCAAATGCTATTGCTGATATTGCTGATATTGGAGCAGAAACATTTATATTCGTATCACATGTCGTTCTAACTTCATACCAATTATCCATTATTTTATACTTTCAATTCGAAATGAACTTTTATTGAAATCACAACGCATGTAATTTATGGTTTTTTGTCTCGAGTCTGATTGGTTCATAATTTGGTACAACTGATCAAAAATCTTTTGTTATGATTTAGATAGATTCAAGATTATTGTGCAGTATATTTTCTCAATTTAAATTTATAACTGTTGTTTTCAACGTAAAGTAATATTTCAACATTGAAGTGACTCTCCAAGTTCACAAAATGACCCGTGCGTTAAACTAAAGATGAAACCCTCTTTTTTAAAATAAGTTTGCCCAGGACCATAACCGAACAACCTCTCACAATGATAGATCTGTGTCTCCCTTCTCACAAATTGAAATCTGGAATAGACTCTCTCAATCCCTTTACGATGATCCCAGTTCAAAAAAACGGTTTCTCTTATGCAAGAAAACTGACGAGACGCATTAAAGACGTAATCGTTCTTGCTGAGGTTTCATAAGGAGAAAAACTTGATTTTTCTCCTAGTAGGGGACAATATGGCGATTTTATAGACCAGGAGCTTAAAAGAATCCACCAAAGTACGGCCAAACTGAAGAACAGAGCAGACATGCTGGACTTAGCAACAATCTCACACGGGATTTTACTTATCAAGATGCTTGTTCAGGAAAAATTTCAACACAAAAGGAATGACTTTTTGCACAGCTTCGGATGAATCCAAAAGAACTTGCATAATGTAGATGATATTTCTTCACTTATTGATTACATTAACGAATGTCTCGACGTGAAATCTCTAATCTTAATTTGTGATGAGGGTGAGCCCGAATATGGAGAATACAATGGGAGTTCATCATTAGGAAAGAAAGGAATCTCTTGCAGGCTTACATTGAACATCTTACCCATCTTCCCGTTACCTGCCTTGTTGCCGGCACTTACATGCATATGGCAAGCGGAATTTCTCTTGTCACCAGTGCAGTGTTGGAAAAGTCTCAGGTTGGTTTGCTCATATTGTGCTAAAGCTTCCCTTCCTTTCACAAAACGATATCCGCGGAACCTCGATGCTGTAATTAATCTGACACCTAAAACTCACGAACTCGGGATATATTCTCAGGGGATGACCTCGTAACTGTGCATCATTTGTTAGGAAGTTGATATCGGGCAGGAATCAAAGAATAGAACGAAAGATCAAGAGATGAGAGCTTCTTCATTTGTGGTTTGAAAAATAAGCCTTGATATGGTAGTATAATAGGAAAACGCATGTAAATATTTGGGTGCAAATAACTTCAATCCGGAAACAGCAATTATAGATGTTCTTAGGTTTCGTGTTTTTTACAATTACAAGTTCAAGTAAGCTATAGAACTACTTCAACACAGTGTCATTCCTTGCAGTCATCAGAATGCAAAATTATTGACGTTTTTTCTAATGAGATCAAAATCAACCCATTACTTGAATTTACCTCGTCTCTGGATGAGCAAAATGTGGTACTATTATCAGCAAGCTGTACAATTTCTGGGAAACCTATTAAGCGAAATAATCAAAGAGCAGGTATTCAAGTCATGTTACTCCTATATAGTTACCCTCCTTGGGACCAAAAAGAAAAGTGTGATTATAAAAATATTAAATAGTGTGGCAAAGAGGAGTTTTTTAATAATTTTATTAGTAACATGGGGTTGACTGTACACTAGGGATGCAAACAAAACCTAATCTTGAAAAAGTGAGGGCTAAACTATCTATTTCGCCTTTTTCAAATAAATAAAATTTTTATTATAAGCAAAACAAAACTATAGCTTTTTTTAAAATGAGTATACCTATTATAATTATGTTATAATATGTTGGAATATTATCAAATACAAAAAAAGGAAATTTTTTGCTGATATTTAGTTTCGCCCAGTTTCTGGCTAAATTATACTATAGGGCTAAATTGGGCTAAATAGTTTTGTTTGCATCTCTACTGTACACCAAAACCACAAAAAATTACTGAATATTTAAGGTCTCTAAGCATACAAAGAATAATGAGAAAATCAAAACCTTAACAGGTCAATTTTTGATAATCTTGGAGAAGATTATTGATTGACAAAATAATGAAACCAATTTTTTAAAATTCATTTAGTAAAAAGAGATATAAAAAATTAGAGAATCTGAAAACTTTTAAAAGTCTAATATGGAGAATGATTAAATTATTTAATTTGTATTTTTAATAATATATATCTTATTCATTTGTGATAAGGATAAACAGATCATTAAAAATATAGATTATTTGTTGAATTTGAAATTGAGAATAAATCAATAGACTACCATTTTTGTCAACTATGCTAATGTCTTTTATAATTGCAATTATGTCATGTACACAAAAACGTAGTGATGAACCAAAAAAAAATAGTAAAAATACTAGTTTGCTCAGCCTATCCGGCACCTTTAGAAAACATAAAAAAAAATATTACTATGAGAAAAAAATCAAAAAAAAAAGAAAAAAAATATATTGAAAAAAAAGCCACCCAATCCAACCCTATTTTATTTTAAAAATCTTTCCATAATCCATGCAATTAAATCTGATGGAGTTATATATCCTTCATTAAATGGTGTTTCTCTTACGCAGTTTGAAGAATTGTGACCTACTTTCCAACAGTTATAACAATGTCCTGCAAAATAGCAGCAGGAAGGGTGTGCAGACCAATTTATTTTCATCTGGAAACCTAAGAAAGATAGTTGTCAAAATAAATATTCCAGGCCCTCCCTGCTACTAAAATGATTACTTATTGATTTCACTCAAAATATAGTTCTGCTATATTACTAAAATTTATATTTTTAGAATGTACTCCAGCCTCTCTTATTTATTAAAATTACTAATTTGTTCTTTTGCTTTTGTATGCCATCCTGATTATAATCCTGATATAATAAAATATACACCTAGTAGAAAGTGTATGCAGACCAAAGTAAATTGATTATAAATCTCAAGAAAATGAGTAATGATTATTGAATTTCAGCTTCCTTTTCTTATCAGAATTGCTAATTTGTTTTCTTGCTTTTGTATACTTTTTAACTATAATTTTGGCATAATAAAAATTTACATCTAAAAGTATATCTTTAGGTGTAAAAAAAATGGGGGTGTAATTTTTTAAAGAAGGTTAGTCTATTAATTCTGAAGTCTTTTAATATATTGGATTACAATATTTACTAGCATTTTTTCTCATTATAGTTTGAAAAAAAGACAGTATATGCAGAATAATTATATTAGGTTGTCTTCTGAAAGGATCTTCCAATTGGGATAAGACATTTTCAATAAAGTGAAATATTAAGTTTTATAAACTGGTTTCTATATTTATTCATAAATTGCTTATAAATAAAAAGATGCTTTAAATTTTCCTGAGCAATCTGATTTTTGAGTTCTTGTATTATAGCCTTATAGCCTTATAGCCTTATCTCAAAGCCTATTAATATACATAGGCAATCTTGATAAATCAGATTTTCAATAAACTGGATTTGGCATTATTTCAGATTTTCCTTCTGGAACCAAATCATTTATATTAAACCAGTCTTATGCAAATATAGTATAGAGCCTTTATCTTTATTAAATTTATTAATAATATTTACAATTACAATAAACAATAAACTAACTAAAAAATAAAGCTATAGTTTCCTAAAAAGCAGTTAAAGTAAAAATTAAAAATTAAAGATAATTATTAACTTCTTAAACCATCTTCTGTATTATATTTAAAGTACAATAGATACAACTATGCTAAACAGACAATGAAAAGTGCATCTATTATTAAAAATTTAAAATTAATATCCAACCCTGTATAAAGTATGGTTATTTATTAGCACCATTAAACGATTCAGAAAATCTGAATAGTAATTAAACTAATTTAATCCTTTAAACAATTGAGTTTTTAATTCAATCAGTATCAGAATACATGACAGCGCATTTTAAGTCATTTACCTTAGTATTACCATCACTTTTCTACCTCATATGATTTTTTGTAATGCATCAGCCTCATTTGCTTTCTTGCGTAATATTTATCAGAAAAATTTTAATTGCAAAATTTTTCACTTCTATCTTGCACTTTTAAAATATTAAAAAAATTAAATTTTCATACTTAAAGTATAAAAAATATTGATTTCTTGCTCTTAAAATTTTATATTTTTAAATTTAATAAAAAAAATTATTTATTAAAAGTTAATAAAACAATAAAATATACTTTATTGATAAAAAATAATAAGTTCGTTTGATTTTTACTTTGAAATTTATATCTAATAAAATGCATAACCCATAAAATAAATATAATAAATAATACCTAAATAAATATAAAAACAAATGTCTCCTATATCTCCTGATAGATTTAATAAAGTAAATATAATAAATAATACTTAAATAATATAAAAACATGTATCTACTAATAAAATAAATATAATAAATAATACCTAAATAAATATAAAAACACGTCTCTCCTAACTCTTCTAATAGATATAATAAAACAAGTATACTAAATAACCTATAAATGCATATTGTTTAAAAAGATTTAAAAAATATATAGTATAATTATAAATTCCACAAATATATAAAATAATTCAATAAAAATAGTAATGCTATAATTGTTAAGCAGTTTTATTTAGTCTTCAAAAAATGACTAAAATACTAAATTACACTCTAATCTTTATATAAAGAAGATAAAAAAAAATAAAAACAGTTAATATAATAGTTAAAAGTAAACCAATAATATACAGTATATCGCAAGCTATATATAGTATCCCTTCTATGTATAATACTTTTCTTGAAAAATTTCATAGAATTGTATAATACTCAGGAGGATATTTTACAATTATCTTGTAATCCAGTGATCAGATTTGAGCCATCTTTTTTTTTGTTTGATAGCTTTTATTGAGTTCTTTAAAATAAAAAAAAGATTGTTCAAATTGAACTGGTAAATTGTAAGATATTTGCAAAAAATAGAATTTTTAAGTTTTATTTAGTACCTGGAGGTACAGAGTCAAACCTCCAAATTTTGAAAGATACCCAGGATACTATAGTAGGACCTAAATAATACTGATACAACTAACATTTGATATTTTAATAGTCATACTTTATTATTTTTATGCGTACTCAAAATATATATATAAGAAAACAACATAGGAAAAAACAAAAATGAAATAGTCGCACAAACAAGTACATATAGAGAAGAAACTAAACTATAAAATCCTAATTCGTATTAAACTACAAGTAGTAAAATTTCAGGCTAACTACCCAAGTCTAAACAATCTCAACCCACGAACAACGAGAACTAAAATATAAGTTCAGATGAGAACTGTTCAACTACTCTGATAACACTAGCAGATAATAAAATCCTGGAAAGGCCAGTGCTGCAAGTTTGTAGCGAGGAAGAAAGCATATCAACTGAGAAAGAGTAACGCATATTAGCTATAAAAAGAAATTTTTTAAAAAATGATACTATATAAATATAATGCAGAAAACTAATATTCTGCAAGTAAATACAAGAAGTCCAGCATATATTTCAAATAAACACACAAAGCGAGTTATTTGATCATAAATGGAAGGATGAAGATGATACAATCTATCATAAAATTTAAAATTCGCAGACGAAAAGGAAGGAGGAACTAAACCCGTACCAAAACTTGAATAACGTGTAGAAAGTTTCCAAAACATCTGACGTCCATGAATGACCCTTGAGTTGAGGAAGGAAGGCAGAGGCAAAGGAGCAGGAAGTTGTTTTGAAGAGATCTCAGTCAAATCCAAATCAAAAGAAAGAGGTCGTATATAAAGCGGAATAAAAGAAAAATAAACTGAACGAAAAATTAATTCAGTCTATTCAGTTTCATAATACAAGAAAGTTTCTTTATCGAAAGGCAGGAAGGAAAAGTCATCATCAGAATTGGAAAATTCATCATCTGAATCAGATAAAAACATTAAACTCATAGCATCATAAGTAACCAAAACAGGAGAGGAAGAACGAGAAGTAGCTGATGAGACCAGAAGAAGACCAAATGCAGCATACATTGTGCCCATAAATTCATCCATTCTTAGGTCATCCTCAATTAAATCATCTTCATCAGCATTAGGATCAAGATAATTATTCCAATTAATAGTCAGAGAAATAATATCATCAAAAGTAATATCTGAAAACCCCAAATTTTCAAGAGAACTATCCAAATGATCTACATCATGGGAACTCAGATTGGCAGGAACGGGATTCTCAAATAAGTCATCAACAAAAAGATTCGTAGATAGGCTGATTGGTGTAACAGGATAATCAGAAGTCGATCTTTCGTAGGGAGTAAGCTGAATATCTTTTTTTTTTAATATATACTTCAGAAATAAAATTCTGAGTAGGTAACGATAAAGTATTCCAAAAAGGAGTGTTAATAAAGGACTCATAACGAGCTCTATGGAATAAAAGATATTTTCTGACGTAAGAAAGGTCGTTATTATATTGAACTTGAAGAGAAATAAGCTGGAGAATAAGGCAAGGGTCGTCCTCGTCATCATTAAAATCTTCTTCGTGTAAACCTTTGTCAAGACGTATAACCACTCATTATTAAATAAAATAATATTAAACAAAAGTAAATAGAAGGAAAAAGAAAAATTTGTCTCAGGTAACCACCAAGAAATCCTATAGAGACGAAGAAAAATATTTAAATTTGTTTTAATTATTTATCCCAAAAGGGGGAAACAGGAAAAGAGTTACGAAGATTCTCACAACTAACATTTGATATTCTAACAGTGATTTTATTAAGATTTATTCGTACATTACAAAAAGAAGTAAAAATAAAATAAATATCTAACTAAAAACAAATAGTCATACAAATTTATATATATAGAGAAGAAACTAAACTATAAAACCTAAATTTGTATATCACAACTTTAAACCTAAGAAAGCAAAGTTTCAGATCAACTACCCAAGTCCAATCCATCCTACCCTACAATCCAGTAAGCCAAGATACAAGGACTGTTCGACTCTTCAGAAAATCCGAGAGGTTGTTAAGCTAATTCGTTTTCAGATTATAGCAGAATGCGTCCAGAAAATACCAAGTGAGGACCATTTGAAAGCCTGAAGCGGAGAAAAAGACTCGTTGGTCAGGAAAGAGGTCACCGAAGAGGTGTCATAGTGAAAATTTGTAAAATTGGAACTTTTAGTCATGCGAAGAATGGCGGACATGATATCTAATGCCTTATCTTTAAGGGATTTCATCTTACATCTTGGACGCCAAAGTTGGTGGTAAATTTCACGTTGTAATTTAAGAAAATTTCTTAAAATAATATTGCAGGCAGAACGCCGAGGTAGTTCAGAGCTAGAAGTAATTAGGGAAGAAAGATCACGTGGAATAAAACCTCAGAGGAACCAAAGTCCAGTAAATGAAGAGTACTCAGAGTATGTTTGAAGAGATGAAAAGCCAACAGAAGGAAGAGCTTTTAATTGGTAAAGGAGAGAATCCAAGTCCTGCCAGGCTTTAGGAGAAGATGAAGCTTTTCGAGCAAGGCAGTTTAAAAATCGATCCATTAGTTCCAATAGAACACGTTGACAAGGTATTGGAAAAGAACTATTTCCAACCAGACTGGAGTCAGCATCTGGAGAGCATGTAAAGAAGTGTTCAAAGGTTTCCATAAAGATACTGCAATTTGGACACAAAGAGTCATCCGCATATAAATCCGGGTAATGATGTCGTAAATGAAACATCAAGGGAAGTTCATCAAACCAGAGCTGGAGCCAGAATTGAAGAGAGGCAGAGATACATGAAACATCTATACGATAGTAAAGAGTGTCTTTAAGAAGGCCAAAAGTAAGAGTCCAATCAATTACAAAGTAGGAGGACCGCAAAGGAGTGAATCTAGAAAAACTTAGTAATTCAAAGAAGGCTTTCATGTCTGAGATAGTATGCCAATAGGCGACTGGATCATTAATGAGAGGAACATCATTGCATAAAAAGGCAACAAGTAATCCTTGAGAAGGAGTGGAAATGTCTAACAAGGGTCTAAAAGGAAACAAGGGAACATCAGAGGAATCCGCAAGCGAAGAACAACGGGAGAGATATTCATCATTAGAGACATCCATAATTTGTAGAAAGGTGCAGTTAAGACTTGAGTTGAAAGTGCAGCAATAAATGGCGATCCAAAGGATGTATAAGGGAGACTGAAGTCACTGAACAACAACTAACATTTGAGTTTGTATAGAGTTTATATTAAAATTTTTCAAAAGTTGTGTATTACAGGGATCAGGATTGGGAAAATATGGTGTATGAAGTTCAGTACAGTACAATCATCAGGAAATTTGTTTAGGCGTAATTTAGTGTAATATTTCGGAGGTAGTGTAAAATTTCGAAATATTACACTAAAAATGTAATATTACAAAAGTTTACGCTTTTAAATTTGAATAATAATAGTAATTTAAGAATATCTCGCTATCTACTGATCCAATCAAGACGATCTATAGCTAATTGGAATCAGCTCATCAAGACGAATCGAATGGTAGTAAAATCGCATTTCTACAGTTGATAGAACGCTCTATAGTATGCAATAAAGTTTTAAATTAATAGAAAGTCATCTATCGAACGTAGAGATATGATTTTACTACCATTCGATTCGTCTTGATGAGCTGATTCCAATGAGCTATAGATCGTCTTGATTGGATCAGTAGATAGCGAGATATTCTTAAATTACTATAATTATTCAAATTTAAAAGCGTAAACTTTTGTAATATTACGTTTTTAGTGTAATATTTTGAAATTTTACACCACTTCCGAAATATTACACTAAATTACGCCTAAACAAATTTCCTGATGATACAGTATAGTTAGTACATTGTACTTAAAATTTTAAATACCATATATTTAATAAAGTTACTTCAAATGCTAACTCTATCAATATTGATTTATTTATAATAAAATAAATACTATTAAATTCATCACACGTCAAATGATCAAAAATAGGCAAAAAAAATGGCGCAAATCGCATAAACTATTCGCAAATTTGTATAAACTATTTACAAATAGTATAGGTTAATTCGTAAATAGCCAAAAACAGCCAAGAATAGCCAAGAATAGCCAAGAATAGCCAAGAATAGCCACTGCTTTTCGCGCCATTTTTTTTGCCGATTTTTAGCATTTCGACCTGTGCATCGCATTGAGACAAATCTAATAAGCTTAATTTTATTGAGATTGCTGGAGAAACTAGGGGGTTTTGGCAAGTTGGCGAAATGCTAAAATGGCAAAACTTTACCGAAACTACAGTATATGAATGTTTTATTAAAAAATTGGTGAAACTCTGGAGAAAAGCGAAACCTGACAAAACTTATTAATTATTATAAATGCCGAAACTGCCGAAACTTTGCCGAAACTATAATAAAACTATAGTAAAATCTTGGAGAAACTAATCGTAGAATTTTGGAGAGGTTTAGATAGACAACCTTAATCTAATCACTGAACAGGACCCTGGACATTACATATACAACTCAGTGGCAACTTTTTCACAGATTGATTTAAATTTTACAAAAAAAAAAAAATCAGTTTTTTGTGATTATCTCAGCATTTAGTAGTCCAATTTGTACGAACATTTTTTTGTTTTGTAGCTCTTATCAAACTCTACAAAATAAAAAAAATCTGCATGAATCAGATTACTGGATACCAAAATAATCGCAAAAAACAAAAAATAAAAAAAAAGCAAATTGGGTTTTTTTTGGCAAAAAGTCAGTTGTGAGTTCTATAAAAGATGTCCGAGGTTCTCACTAGACCACTTAAAACCAGGGTATATATAATTAAAAATACCTCTGTAATTTATATAAAAAAATGTACTTAGTAGATAGATTAAGTAGACATTAAAGCTCCGCATGAGCCGGCTTGAGCCGAGCCACAGTCTGGCTTGGCTTAGCTCGAAAAAAAAAATTCTGGCCTGAGCCAGAATAAGCCGAGCCATAAAAATTTCGGCTCAAGCTAAAGTGAGCTGAGCCGAGCCATGAAAATCATAGCTCGAGCTAAGCCAGGCTCAAGCTTTATCTTCACAAAAATGTTTCGCAACGTTTTTTATTGAAGCATTGAAATAAACGTTGCGAAACGTTTTTTTCTAATATAATATAGTGAAAATAATGTTTTCGCAACGTTTTTTACTAAAGAATTAAAAAACCGTTGCGAAACGTTTTTTTCTAATATAACATAGTGGAAAAAACGTTTTGCAACATTTTTTTACTAAAGAATTAAAAAAAATGTTGCAAAACGTTTTTTTCTAATATAACATAGTGGAAAAAATGTTTTCGCAACGTTTCTTTACTAAAGAATTAAAAAAATGGTGCGAAACATTTTTTTCTAATATAACATAGTGAAAAAAACGTTTTCGCAACGTTTTTTCTAATATAATATAGTGGAAAAACATTTTCGCAACATTTTTTTTACTAAAGAATTAAAAAAAATGTTGCAAAATGTTTTTTTCTAATATAATATAGTGAAAAAAACGTTTTCGCAACATTTTTTATTAAAGAATTTAAAAATACGTTGCGAAACGTTTTTTTCTAATATAATATTATGAAAAAAATGTTTTCGCAATGTTTTTTTATTAAAGAATTAAAAAAATGTTGCGAAACGTTTTTTTCTAATATAATATTGTGAAAAAAACGTTTTCGCAACGTTTTTTATTAAAGAATTAAAAAAAATGGTGCGAAACGTTTTTTTCTAATATAATATTGTGAAAAAAACGTTTTCACAATGTTTTTTATTAAAGAATTTAAAAAAACGTTGCGAAACATTTTTTTAATATAATATTATAAAAAAACGTTTTCGCAACGTTTTTTGTATGATAACTCAAGCCAGCTCGAGCTTTTTGAGCCGAGCCTATTATTACTGGCTTTAGCTTTTTGAGCCGAGCCTATTACCGGCTTGAGCTCTTTTCAAGTTGGCTCGCGAGCCACTGAGCCAATTTAATCATCGCTCAGTTCGGCTCAGATTGAAAAGCTCGAGCCAGCTCATGAGCCGGCTCGGCTCATGCAGAGCTTTAGTAGACATCACTATAATTATAGTGATGTCTACTTATTAATCTATCTACTTACACCATAGTGATGCCTACTTATAGATATTGATGCATACTTACTTATTTTTACGTGTTTATGCATCTTCTGATGCTTTATTGCTATCCATCTATTTTCACTGGTCTGTGACTGTTTGGTCGCTAAGCAGGGCAGAGGTTTGTTTTTCCATTCTGAAGCCTTTTAACAATTGTATAAGAGTAAAGTTGGTTTTTCCACTCTTTGACCCTTTTGGTTGCCATATTTGAGATCGAGGGTGTGGCCCATTTGCTGGCCTTTTAAGTTGCTGAAATGGTGTAAAAAAATCGTCAGGTGGCGCAGTAAATTTGCAGTGCAGATTTTGGCTGGCTTTATACCATAATTTTGGCCGATCTTTAGAAATTAGCATTATAGTAGCGTCCTGGTAGCGTCCTGGTAGTATCCTGGAGCTGTCATAGAACTGGCTGGGAACCTGAGTGTTTCTATTAGTTTGCCAGTTTCAGGCCAGCTTGGATGCCAAATTTGTACTGCGCCTTACTGCGCCAGTTACGTGATCCTGTTACGGTACTAAACACCCTTTCATAGTTACGGGCTAGTGACGAGAACATTTCCAGTATATTTCTGGCTTAGGTTGCAGGCTCTTTCCCGTTATCTTTCCATCACATTCGAGGTGGTGATTGGTTGGAGGTTTGAAGATGCCCATTTGATTGCTGGATGAGGCACGAAGTGCCGAGTTGGTGACCCAGATGTGCAATCTCGCCTTTTATAATCCTTTTGATTGCCGGATGAGGCACGAAGTGCCGAGTTGGTGACCCAAATGCGCAATCCTGCCTTCCATAACCCTTTTAATTGCCGAGGATGAGGTTCGAAGTGCCAAATTAGTTCAGACTATACAGCTCTCATATTTTTTTTTTGTGTATTCTCCTGAACCTTTCTGCCTTTCTGACCTCTTTCCTACCTATCGCCAGTAGTATCCCAAGTTGTAATTTCTTATTTTCTTTCTATATATTATTCTAATTTGGGTTACTACCAATCCTATATCTTATTTTTCGCTCCTGCCTTTCTAGAACTCTTTCTTGTATAGTTGCTATTTTGGGATATCCCTATGTATGATTACTTTGGATTATTATTGCATTGATCACTTTAGGGTACTACCACATCGTTTACTTTCTTTTGGCTTGGTGCTGGGTATTACATTAATCCAGTATTTTACTAGCAAGCATATTCGCTCAAAATTATATAGAATTTTTATTTTGAACTTTGCTAGTTTCTCTGTTATTTTATACTGCTTTCTTGCATATACACCATGCTTCTTGCGCAAAAAAAGCCTGAGCCTAGCCCAAAAACAATAAACGAAGCAATCAGACTTTTTTCAGGGTTAGCGGACCTTGACTATGAGCCTGGTTATAATGATCATGTATACTTTCAATATTTGTCTAATAATAAAAATGATATCTCTCTTCTAGGAGCCTATCATCCTGAAGAGATTTATTCAAAATATATTATTCGGGTAGCAGGAAAGGGTTTTACGGTAGTTGATTATCCATCTAAAGTTTATGGGTTTCCCGATACATACGAATACATTGATGGGAATTTGCCTTTTCGCCTGATTCTAGATATTGACACAAGGCAGTATTCTGATCCCATGAATCCCGAACTCCCTTCCTTAGATGAATATAAATTTTCTCACGAAGATTTATTATCCAGAATCTTAATTGCCTGCACTGATATTATAAACTCTGATTTAAATCATTTCATAATATTAGACGCTTTTGCCTTAGCCAGTTCGTCTAATGCTAATAAATGCAGTTGGCATATTGTGTATCCTTATGCCCGTTTTATTGATTATAAAGACCTTGAGGGTTTTGTAAAAAAAGTTGCTGATAGAGTTGGAAAGTCATACTCAGTTTTTATCGATTTTGACCTTTATAAATCTCGCTTCAGCCTTCATCTTCTTAGATCAGCAAAGGAAGATAGAGTTAAAAGACCTGCAATTTCTTCAATTAAGATAGGATATTGCAAGCTAGAAAATTATCTAGTTCAGCCTAAATCCAATTATTCTGAAATCTGGCCCCGAATCTTTTCCTCTGAGAAGCCAGAAAAAGAGGAATTCCAACCCATTGAAAATAAAACCGCCTTAAGCGTGGGAGCTGGTTTGGTTATCACAAAATATGGATGGCTTGAGGTTGGCGACATTAGAAAGGGATTTATTAACTTTCAAGCTCGGTCATTGGAAGCATGTCCCATTTGCAATATCAAATACGAAAAAGATCAGTTATATGGCTTACTTCGAAGTAACGGCTATTTTGTACTCAAATATTATCGGCAGAAAAATTATAAACCAGATCATAAGGAATTAGCGTTCGGAAAAGTGACTGAAGTTTCTGCAAAACCTAAGAGAGGAATAGTCGAAAGAATAGGTGATGCTATATTAAATCCACGTCTTCTTGTAGGATTATTAGTAATGATGATTAATGTAGAAAAATTAAAGGATGCTCCAGAAGTATATCCCGATTTCTTGGGTATTGAGAAAACAACAACACTTATTCGTTCTCCCCCAGGGACATGGAAAACCACTGCGTTAAGAGAGATTATTATGGCATTGAAAGATAAAGTACATGATATTTCTTCTTTGCCATGCTTTATCTGAATTTCTTACCGAAAGTCTCTTAGCAATGAATCAAAAGCGAAACTCGATGATTTAAAAGCATTAGGTTTCTGAATTTGCAATTACCAAAATACACTAGGAGATTTATTTATAGACAAATAGGATATTATCATAGTACAGGTTGAGAGTCATTTCTGTATCGAGTTTACAGCCCGTTCGTTTGTAGCTATTCTTGATGAAGCCAATGCCATCATGCGTCAAATGTCCAGCGGTACAAATGCACGGGAGTCTGAAAATGCAATGTGTGATGTTTTAAGATCTGCAAGGCATGTTTTAGCCATGGATGCCTTTGCAAATACATCGACACTATTCTTCCTCCAGGCTTATCGCAGTGAAAATATTCACGTAGTTGATAATAAGTATCAGCCTCGTATAGGCGAGACAGTTGAGTTTATTTATGATCTGAATAGCGGAGCTGAAGCCATGCGAATAGGATATGATCTTTTAAGGCAGGGTAAACGTGTGGCATTTGTATCTACCAGAGCTGTGATAGCTAGAGCATTAGTAGAAAAAGCATCTAAGTTGTCTAAGCCTGATAATTCGCCTGTTAAAGCCCATGCTTATTACGGAGATATGGATGGAAAACAACGTCAAAGAGACTTTTCTGATATTAATGTCGCTTGGGGTGAACTTGATTGCGTAGCTTATACAAATACAGTGGAGGCAGGAATATCATTTGAGGTTACGGGCCACTTCAATATAATTATAGCTATTACAAACATCGCCACTCCAGTTCATGTTGAAGCTCTTGCACAAATGCTTTATCGAATTCGTGACTGTCCTCGTCGTATTGTTTCCCTATTCTATCAGAAAAATTCTAATGAGCTTTTTCACCCACCAGGTCGTGAAAATATTCGGGCAGAACTTGCAAGTATTCGGCCTAATAATTTACCCACAGCAATAAAGGGATATTGTGAATGGAATAATAATACCATTTCTTATAAAGTTGATAAGTCTCCGGCCATAATAACTTTCATTGAAGTCGAGCATCAGAAACGTCTTTCTGCAAGATATTTTATTGAAAAGCTTTGTAGTCTTATAGCTAGTACAAGCGCTTCTCTCCAACTTATAAAAATAGATGAGAGTCGAGAAGTTATAAGGAATCGCAAAAGTGTTCACAATGAGATTAGGGTTGAAGCATTAGTTATCAAGAATACAGATTTTAACACAGTTGCTACTTCCCGGAATCTTAGTCCTGAAGAAGCTGAAGTCCTTAAATTCGATCAAGAGTGTTATTCTATCGCAGATACTATGGCACTTAAACGTTTTTATATGCGGAATCTTTATTGCAAAGACATGAGTATCGAGGATTGGAATAATATTTGCAATAGAAAATTCATTGAAAATTTTAGTTCGCCTGAAGCTCAGAAGCATTTCTTACGGTTGTCTTATTTTCGAAGGCAAGGTCATGATGAGGAGAATGCAATGAAGGGATTGAAAGCTGAGGAAAATATACAATGGGAAATTGCTTGCCATAGAGCTGAAGAGAATCTGGAAAAATCAGTGGCAGAAGACTTGCGTAAATCTTATTCAGCAAATCATTGGAAAGTTATACAAGAACTTTTTCAAATACTAGGCTTTACTGGCATTGATGACAAGCATATTCTTTCTGGTAGTATGGTATCAGAGGCATTTGCGCAATCATGTGAAAGATTTATAGAAATTCAAAATCAGTCTTTATCACTCTTTGGCTTTAAGTCTCATGATAAGACAACACCAGATCTTAATTCGGATATAAAGGCAATCAATGCAATTGCTGGTAATTGGTGTGGCTATACTATTAAAAGTGATAAAAAAAGAATAGGGCCTAAGGGACAACAAGTTTGGCAATACTCATATCGAATTAATCACCAGCCATATAATAGTACTGGTTTCAGAGATAAAGGTGCACCAGAACTTCCACCATATAGGCTAAAAACAGATAACAATATTCAGGAACTCTTCGATTCTATAGGACAGGAAAAATAATACTTCAGCCCAGATCATTCATTATTCAGATAAGTATCTTGACTACATCAGATGGGGATACTAAAGTAACTATCGATTCTGTTTCAGTTTTTTTACTTTCACGCCAGGCATGGTTATAAATTCCACCATGTGTGCTACAGATTCCGGTCTTGGAATAGATTCTTTTTTACAGACAGGACATATTGTTCTAAGAAGGTATTATAATGTCTGGCGCATCCTAATTCACTCATGCATCCTTTCCTACAAATCAAACCATCTCTCTTGATGTATTGGCAGATAAAACGACCCATACGAGATAATTTTAATATTAATAATCTTAAAACTTCATCTTCACTTTTATTATAGATATTCAAAAATGTGTTACATATCTTTCACATTCAATACTGGCCAAAGCTAGTCTCTAGGACTGTGTGAAATACAGTATATTATTATTTTTCCTTTCTTCAACCCTCTGTTATATAGTATCCCGAAATTTATAATTAGGGGAATTTTTCTAATTGAATTTTTTCTCACATAATATAAGTAGAAGAAATAACTGAAGTCTACTTATATCGACATGTCTACTGCAGAACCCACCCAAAAGACCTGAAAAGCGAAAACTAATAAATTCGTTTTGATTCTAGAACAGTTCTTAGAAAGATATAACTTATCCGCAGAGTCCAGCCCAAAGCAATTAAGTGAACATGCCTTGAACTTAATGCTTTACTTCCAGATTGGAAGGCCCGTAAGTGCGTTAAGGAAGCCCTTGCGAGAGGCACTGAAAAGAGAAGTGCATTTAGCAAAGAGCAGATAGGGGCTCGATCTTGTGCCAGATCAGAGAAATAAGATATATTCTGTCAGGAAAAGGGCCCAAGAAGTCGCTAAAAGCGAAGATAAGTGGGATATTTTCATTAATACTTTATCTTTGGGACTAAAAGGAAATAAGGATGGAGTAATTGATGATAAGGAAATGGTTGCTTTTAGCTCAAACCAATCACGATTTCGTAAGTATTTAGCAGAGTACGGGGTGATCGTAAACTTATTGATCGCTATGCCAAAGATTTGAAAACCACTACAGCTTCCAATAAAATCCAGCAAGAGCGGACTGAGAAGCGCTTGGCTAATCTAGGTAGAACTCCAGAACATTTCACCTTTGAGAAAGTGCATAGGAGACTCCAGAATATCGATACTTCTAAAATTCCCTCTATGCAGGATCTCGCAGATGTGATAGTGATGCTGAGCATGAGGCCTGCTGAAGTATTATCTTTCCAGATTATTAATTACAAACCAGATTCTGAAGATCTGCCAGCGTGGTATAAAGCTGGTTATTCTTGGTATTGCACTGGATGTCACAAACAGAGAGATAAACAGATGCCTATGCGCTTACTCTCTATGGAAAAGGATCCAGAACATGCTAGGAAATTACTTACCTGGATTCAAGACGCTATTAAGGCTGGGAAGTTGCGTGATCCAGTTTATACTGAAACTGGAAAGTGTAATAATGTGCCATTTGTCAAATTCATAAAGAGTTTAAAAACTAATCAGGACGAAGATGAGATTACCCCTAAGGTTCTAAGAAAAATAGGAGCTAAACACACCTCAATGGTTCATGCTGGCCCAAATCCAACCCTCAACATCTCGACCATCTTTCAAAAATCGCAATAAGACATAAAATTAACCGTCTTGATGCAGGAAAAAATTACGCTTTAGGTGATCCAAAATCAAAGAAGGAGCCCAAATCTGAACCAGAGACAGGTGATGGTCTAAACCCCCAAACACAGGCTTCTTCACCTGCATCTCAGTCTAGAAATAATGATCCAAAAAAGTCTCAGACTATGGATATGGATTCAATGTTAGCAGAAATCGATGCAATGTTAGCTGAAATTCGGAAATAAATGCCAGTCTGGAGCAGTGATCATCAGCTCGGAAGATTTTGCTGATCATCAGTTAGGTCTTGTGTAACATATTAATTTTTGCATATATATTCGAAAAGACATATTAACCTTTATTCTTTATTTTTTCCCCAACCAAACATAAGGAAAATGTGAAAGGAGGTCTAGTTGCAACACAGGACCTACCGTAAAGTAAATAGTGCTGGCAAAAGCATATGTTATGGAGGGCTGAGGGACTCGCAATTTCAAGATCTACAAGAACTAACTACCTTTGCGTCTCTCCGGTAGATCTCTATGTGAAAAGGTTTGAAAATTCCGTTTGCATGCGCTTTCATAGGACTCTTGGCATCAGACAACAATACTAATTACGCCTCATATCTTCTTAACTTCGGCTTGGCGCTCTTTTTCCCAGCAAGATATAAAGCATGTAATGGTATGTGGAAGTTCAGCCAACTTTCCGCAAAAAAACTTTCCCAAAGAAAATAGTTTCACTAGCGTAGCTAACGCAAAATAACTACCCCAGGCAAAATTCTTCCATGTCACCGTATATTTCCGTTAATAATTCACAGTACCATATAGCGATAGCTGTTAAGGCACTTCGCATAGTCGCAATTTTATGTATTGTAGATCGGCTACTGGCAATGTTTTTATTTCATAAATAAAGTATTATTATTGTACTATACATGAGAAATGGGTCACGTGTAATGGTGCGATCTAGGACTAGCCGTAAAGGCACTTCGCATAAATCTAACATTTTTATTCGAACTAATCTAGCCTAATAAAAAACGTCAGGTGATAAGTGAGAAGAGTCTTCACGGTTAGGGAGGCGCAGTGATTAGGCGATCATTGCACCTATGATGCAATGTGGCCGATCATACGGCAGGCTTGTGAAACAGAATAATTTCTCACATATACTAAGCTTTGGTATTTTTTTTGCAAATAAAATTCTTTTTACTCTTGTCCTCACATATGCCAGTTTGCACCAATAATATTCCGCAAAAAATACTATATAAGCCGAAAACATGCCTATCACTTAATACGACCACTAGTGCTTTTCCTGTCGATATTAATAAAGACCAGCTTGTAGGTCACCTCAAAAAAGTTATTAAAGCAGAAAAGCAAAATGACTTCGCTAGAATAGACGCAAACAGGCTCAAGCTATGGAAGGTAACGATCTCTGGCGATCAAGACGATCAATTAAGAAATCCAATACTCCAGGACAGTGACGAGCTGTTGGCAATAAATAATATTGAAGACTACTGGCCCACTTCGCCTCCTAAAAAACATATCCATGTTATTGTAAAATTGCCACGTAAGTGTCTGGTATAGTCTGTGCAAAGCGCCTTAACGGCTAATTTTTCGTCATTTGCCCTAGTAATAATAACACATATTTGTTTCCAGTTCTCAGCTTGGAAGAGGCATTGTCGTGTATTCCACCACCCATAATATATTCTCTGGACTGCATTACCTCAAAGACCACTACTAAGGCTGTAGGTGACCCGCCGGCAAGTGTGCAACTTTGGGACGACTTTTTCGATAAAGTGAATCAATTCCACTTTGACCAACAGCCGATATTCGAGAGGCCGAGATTTGATGATAGATTTGTTATAGTCGATGAAGAAGATGTTCGTAATACCATAAATTTCAATATATGTATGGTATTGAATGATCTTACAGGACCAGACTACGTATATTCAAGGAAATCTACTGACACTCCCGGCATACCAGATTTCAACTGTCATCTCGTGGGTTCATTGATCTTGGTGATGGAGGCTAAAAGAAAACATGTTTTAGAAGATATGGGGAACAGACATTTCCCGAATTTTATCAGATGAGTAAAGACAAGGATGTAGTTCAACAAATCTATAATTATATGGGAGGAAACGAACTTAGATATGGTATTCTCTCTACCTATGATAATCACTGGTTTCTACGTCGAGAGCATGCAAAGCTCTGGATTTCAAAAACTCTTCCACTTCAGTCTGCATCTCCACCAGTTCTCAAGGCGTATGCATATCTAACTCGACGGGCAAAAGAGAATCCCAAGTCTCCTAAACCTCAAGTAGTAGTGCCTGTTCAAGGGGACAATGATTCACATACTCTTCAGTCACACTCAAAGTCATCTTCCAACTCCTCATTAAATCAAAAGGCTTTTAGCTCCTCATTAAATAATCAGTTTTCCAGCACCTCTGCGAATCAACAATCTTCTCCTGTAGACCAACAAGATTATAGCTTCACGGACTTCAAGTTTAATGGCATACTAGGTGAAAGACGAAGTGGTAAAACGCTCCTATGCGAATTTCGTGGTGATACAATTGCTCTGAAGAGCATAAACTTGTCGAAGGCTCCATTGTATATTCTGAAAGAAATGCAGAAGGAAGTAGAAATGTACAAAGATCTAGCTGATATTCAAGGCAAGTATATCCCAAAGCTGGTCTGTTATGGATATTATGGAGGAGGCATGAGCTTCTTATCGGCTTAACCATTGTTAGCACTATGTTGAGCAACCAAAAAATTACGGAACAGCAAAAGTCAAGGGCTATTAAGGGATTAGAAGCAATCCATGAGCATGGTATCCTCCACAATGATATTCGGAAGGAAAATATCTTAATTAACGATAAAGGTGCCCTATACCTGATTGACTTTGGGATGGCAAGCCAGAAGGACACAAAAAAGAAGAGAAAGCTTTTCGACGAGGAATAGCTCAAATTATCTCAATTGCTAGATGGATATATTGTGTAAGAATTTATTATTTTACAAATTCCTGTACTACGATTACTTGTAATCCTAATTTCTTATAATTAATAATCATGTATTTTACAGACATTTCGTAAATAAGGAGGGGTGAACTTTCAAGTCACGTAAATGTAAGGTGGTTAGTTAGACTGTAGGGATATATATTAGACATTTATATAGAAGCATCATGTATCACAGGCAATGTCCCGAACATTTGTATTTATTTTTCGCATGTATTAATAAAATATTTTTTTCTTGGCATTTTTCTGGGACCGCGCGGTCTCAGAAATCTGGTGACTTTATAACCTATTTCTCTTGGTAAAATGACAGTCTCTATGTATATATATATTAACTAACTTTTGAATATTTCACTTCTTGTATAAAATTTATCAATCATGTCATCCGAGCTTGAAGTATTGAAACAGCGTATCGTTGAACTTGAGGCTAAGAATGCCGAGCTTGAGGCAGAAAAAGCTGAACTTTTAAAGTGGATTATGGAGGAGAATACTAGACGCGATGTTAGAGTTGAGGAACTGGAGCAAAAAAATAAGGAGCTTGAGACCAGACTTGCAATAGTGGAACAATATCCTAATCTATATAAAGAATGTAGTAGTGAAAATTTCGATTATAATGGGATTACTGATGAGACATCATGCGGGGACTATATCTGCCCATTATGCAAATTAGGTCATGATGATGAAGAAATAGAAGGTAGGTATAAAGCAGGATTTTACTTTATTAAATGTGAACAGCGTGAAATTGAGATAGTTGCATAGTCTCATTGCTTTACAATAGTCTGGGAATTTTAATCTTTTTTTCGAATGAATAGATCTATATGAGAAAAAAGGGATTTAAATTGTTTGCAGTCATATAAAAAGGAAAATGACTGAGTCTGTTAAAATACTAACCGCCGATTATCTGGATTGGCATGCCAAATTAACTGGGTTACCAAGTATTTTGACAGATAAGATTCGTTCCAAATTATACAAAAGATATAAAAAAGAAACTGGATGTGAGCCATGGCAATTATCAAAAGCTGTGACAAGTATATCAGAAAAGCCTCAAGCCTCTGATTTCAAGCCTATCACTTTCGAAGCCAAACCCAATCCAGAATTAATTATCAAGTCTGTCTTAGAACATTTTACATACCTGAAATTCTGAAATAGTTTTAGGGGGATTGGTAATTATAATTTTGCATCACTTCAGCCATGGAGCTTACCATGCCCTATTTGTGATGGAAAACATGGGAATTATGGATTACATGGCGAATGGTATAGAAATGGAACAGAATATTGTCTTAGCTGTAACTCTTCAAGTAATAAATTCAAGTTCGCGATTGTGGCTTAGACCGGTCATGTGAAATCGATCACCTGAAAAAATGCGCAGTACGATATCATTTGTAACGTGTGAATTGCTATTCGCATTATTTTTAAACATTGCATTGTGAAAAATAATATCAACCCATCTGAGCTTGAATTATTAAATATTTGCATTGATTATTAGATCAAACCCGAGTTCATCGAATTCAAAAAGATTTAAACCTTTCACAGGATGGGCTAGAGCATCCAATAATGCGTTGTGTTCTAATACACCAAATGAATTAGATCTAGAAAATGCGATAAATAATCCATTTTTTGCTTGATCAGATATATTAGGAAGGCTCATGGTAAATAGCCTAAGAAGGATAAAACGTTGACGAGCTTCCCGGTCTCGATAAAGTTTTTTCCAAGCATCTTCACCAAAACGTCTTTTATAATCCCATCCGTCATAAAAAACACATCATCATCTTCGTTATCATCATTGAACATCCAGAATTCATCATCATCGGTATTGGCGCCTAACCCAAATTTATTATTACTGTCACTAGGACCAGAAACGATTAGTAAGCTTTGTTCCATAGTTGGAGAGATATTTACTAAGATATACTTATCTTTAATTTACGTTCAAAACCTCTTCACCTAGTCGAGCCAGAACAATTCTTCGAATCAGGTGCTAAAGCATAAGCAGTATCATGAATGTTTGGTCACGGTCCAACCGCCTAGGTGAGTTTTGTAAAGCGCCTCCAGCTCGTAGAATGAAAATATTATTTCTTTTTTCGAATCACGTAGGTGGCTTAGCCGAGCATATATCATGCGCAGTAAGTAAGTACGTCATCACTATACTTCCCCACAGTGAATAAGGGCACGATCACCTCTCCTATTTTTAGATCTAGATGTGCTATTTTTGTAATAATGGTTAATATATGCTATTTTTGTAACAATGAAGCCAGGGCCAAGATCTCATGAAATACCGTGCAAATCTATGGGGAAGTAGATCGTGGGTCTAGATCAATAAATAATTAATCCGGTAGTGATATTCGCTTTTTTCCGGAAAGTTCTGGTATAATTTCCATTTGGAGTAAAACGTGAGCTATAATACTAGGATCTCAATAATCAATACTTAACGAACTTCCATATTTAGGCGTTCCGAGAATGATGCAGTTTTTAGGTTTATAGTTAGCTTCGCATAAAACCGAATTCGAATTTTCTCAGGAGAAACAAAAGATCCGGGTTAGCTATCTCTTATTTCCAGAATGGCTAATTTTGTGATTCCGAAAATATTTAGGGTCAAGATGATCGAAACTACTTCTTTTATCATCTATTAGGCGCAATGATTGACAAATTCTTTAGCATGTAACAGGTTTCTTGTGGGAAAGGGTGAAATGAAATTGAATTATAAGTATGGATGTGTACAAATCTCAAAAATGGGTCTCCTTATGTACGAAAACATGAATACACTGGCTTCTATTTCAGTTGAAGATGTTAAAAAATATAACACAGATGAACTTATTTCTCTTTTGCGAAAACAAGACTTAGGGCTTATAAAAGAGGATTTTGATATAATCGAAACTGAGAGAATTAATGGACGTACGTTCTTCAAGACGACCAAGCAAGATTTTCGAGATTATGGCATGAAGGGAGGACCTGCAACTGCTCTTACGGAATTCGCTAACGAGATTGTGTTAGGTAAGTAAAAAATACAATCATGTATTACTTTTAAGATATTTATCACTATTTGGTTCTATTACCTACACAGGACAAGACGAGGCTGGTGGGAGTATTGACGAGGAAGCTGTTGAAAAAGCTGATGGCGTCGATGAGGTTACAGGAAGGTTGGGTAGTACAATTCTTTCTGACATTGGGATTTCAGACGGATGTAAGAGCGAGCTTAAAAGTTTAGCAAATAGATTACCTTCAGACAATGTTGGTATGCCAAGTCTTTCACTCGCTTTTTTACATCACATGGGATTCTTAAAAGAAGGAAATATTGTGAGATACTGTAAAAAAGAAGCAACGTTCCATGAAAACCCTGCGACAGCCCGTGGAGATCCCTGTTATCTTAGCTACAGTGGTGAAAAACATGATTCAATTCAAAAATTCGTGGATAAGGTTAATGGATCGTCAACATCCAGAGGTGATGATTATAAAAATATTGCATACAATGGCATTCGGTATGATGAACTCAGGAATAAAGTAGGAAAAATTTATAGATTAATGCAAATTGTAAATGAAGCAATCAATAATTGACATATCATTATTAGCTTGTCAATTTGTACTTAATTTTTGCGTTATCTCACGTTAATAAATGTAGTAGTATATCAAAATTTATATGTGTGACATCACTGACATGACTATTGCGTCATGTATTTTTTTCCGATGGTTCGCGTATACTCAAGTTTTATGATTAGTCGGTGTTCCCGATTTGGGTGTGCCAAAGATCATGAAAATTGGGTGGTGGTCAAACGGATCGACTCAATTGCCATAGAATAAAGTTAATATTCCGTTTTGGTGATTTGTCCGCGAAAATTCTAATAAAAATTCAAATATACCGTTATTTGTATCATCGATATTTACAAACAAACGTACTCGTATATTCTGCTCATCTTGAAACATGTCGTCACGATGTTAATCGAATTTCCCGCTTCTATACAGTAGATGTTCTAAAATAAAACAGACATATTACTCTTCTTCGGCATTTTGATCTTCGCCAAGAAAATCGTGATTGCCAGCACGTGTCAAATTAGCACAGTAAAATTGTGGCTTTGCCTGATGTTCGTCACATGCATTATATCAAACATCCGGCGCAGTAAATCAAACAACGCTTTCGTTCAGCTCGTCCAAAATCACGTGGGTGGCTTAGATATCAGCGTTGCATCATCTATACTTCTCCGCAGTAATACATTACCGGCATCCGCAGTCGTTATTTATTAATAAACCCAATATTTTTGTGTTGCTATACTGATGAACTTCTTTCGGCTTGGCGCTGGGGAAAGTTCATCACTATAGCAACACAAGAATATTTCTCTTGGCCGGGGTTATTAATAGATCCTCTAAAAAATAACGACTGCGGATGCGGTGGACCACACTACCCAGTGACGTATTATTGCGGATGACGTTTTACTGTGCACGATATCTAAGCCACCCACGTGAGTCGAAAAAAAGATACGATGATTCAGTCTTTTATCATCTTCTGCGCATTTGCGTTAAGTGCCTTCGGCCAGATGATCGATCTAGCAAACCTGTGTAGCAATTTTGACTTTCTTGTTTTAATGAATATCCCAGGGACACATAAGATAATAGAAATTATCTTTACTTTGGCAAGTCTAATCACCCCATATGCCTCGATGTGTGTGAATGCTCGTACATGCTGGGCACTTGGCTTCAGAGTTGGTATATTCGAAATGATCTCGATATTTTGTAATTGATTTAGTCCATGATAAGAAAGGGAAACGTTTACGTACAGCTTCATAGATGATATTCCTATCTTCAGGGAATTTAGATATCTTGATAGGAACATGTGAAACTTGGCCGGAGGCGCTTACGCATGGCGCTGGTGGAATAGGTGGTGAATTATCTGGACCGATTACTTTGGAATCACCTAAAGAATTAGGAACGCTTACCATAGATTCAACAGGCGCAGTTGCATCACCGGTGATTATTTCAGAAGTCACGTGAGAGCGTGAATTTTTTTCACGCTATGTAGTAAGATGATTTTTAATAGTATCGATTTGCATGTCAGTTAACTTTGAGAGTTTGTTTGCACTATAAGATTTGATTCGCATAATCTTATCTTCTCCAATTTCGTTAATTAACATATATATAGGCTTAGTTAGCTGGGTTTTTTTGCGCAAGTTTACACAAGAGACACCAGAAAGATACTGTAGCATTTCATCATAAATCTGCCCACTCGCAAGTTCATAGGCTTTTTTATTCGTAATAACTCCATTCTCCAGAATTCCAGGTAAAATTTCACTATGTCTTTTTTCAAAATACTTTCTATAGCAATACCAGCTCATGATTTCATCTTGTTTGGCTCATATAGTCCTAATTTCAGCAAATTTCGTTTTTTCATATAGATGAGCTAATTCGATTGCAGGCGATTGATCACTCTCCTCCACATTAACAACCTTAACACAATCTTCTTCCGAAGGTTCTATAAGCAATTCTTGTATCAAAAGCTGTATATCTATTTCAGGTGCTTTTATTTTAGCATTTTGTTCTGATAAGACTGGGTTATTAGGGATAGGATGCGAACTTGTGGATGATTCTGACGAAGGGATATCAGAAGTACCAGGTAAATCCAAGTCTCGAAGTTTTTTCACTCTATTGCGCTGTCTGATCTCATCGCTAACCTTTTTCTTGTATTCTTCATCCAAGAAAGCATCCGTCTCCTTATCTTCCAAGGATTTCTGATCACATTGGTCCATAACAGATATATTAACAGTTGATACGATTACCTCTGTTAACTCCTCTGGTATCGGTTCTTCAGGTAATGGAGTATCCATTTCCTCATCCACTGACGGTTTCTCATGTTGCGTTACCGTTGGCTCTGCAACCAAATTGGCCGAAGGCGCTGAAGCGAAGTTAGATGAATTGTTGTTAAAAGAATTATCATTTGCCGTTAAGGCGTTTTGTAGAGTCTGATTCTGTTCCACTTTTGTGAGTCTATCTCTAAACTCAACGTTCTCGGCCTTGAGTTTGGCATTTTCAGTATCACGCCTCTCATTATATTCCGCATTCGCTCTTAGAAACTCGTTATTCCTACGCTTAAGTTCAGCTATTTCAGCATCAGACACCGAGAGCTTGATTCTAAGATCGCGGATCTCAGTATTCTCCTTCCTAAGCTCTGCATTTTCAGCTTCAAGTTCAGTGATACGCTGTTTCAATACTTCAAGCTCGGATGACATGATCTATATGTATTAACTAATACACTGTATATAAGCATTCAAAATAAAAAAGATGTGTTTTTTGACCGGGGGCCCCGGCTGAAATTTGCCAAGAAAAATTTTATTATTACATGCGAAAAATAAATACAAATGTTCGGGACGTAGCCCGCGATACATGACGTCTATGCTAGTGTCCTATACAATTATTTTTTCTTGATTATCTCTTCTACACGGCGCTTCTTAGTTGCAGGTTCCTCGCTACCTAGTGCTCTATCCTTTAATAAACCTACTATAACCTCTAAAACCCTCTTCACATTCTTACGCAATTCTGTATCATCTTTGAGAGCGTCTTCTGTAAGTGAAATTCGATACTCGGTCCTGCTAGTACTATAGATGCCCTCGGTGCTATGAAGAATGAAGTACCAGTCGGTGCCAGTACTGACTATACCATAGACGTATTCGTAATCGGGATCGAACGCCTCATCAACCTTCCGTTTTTTCTTGTTCATATTTATATCCATCTAGAGGGAAATTCTTTGATTATGCCTCCTTCAAGCGTATAAATATCTTCCCCGCATATTGGGCATGGATCTACTTTTGGAATATTAGTGTTCTCATTGGGGGAGGGGAGAGCGTTAGCTTTACTAACGATATTTATTGCAAGAGCTTCGATATGTGATTTATCCATATTGCCCACCTCCGATTGTTAATCATCTAGAAGGGTTCCTTTATATAGCACTTGTAAATATCGTAGGAGAAAGCATTCCCCGGATTTTCACCAGCAATTACGCACTGCACTTCGTCCTGCGTTCGACGATAAGAATACGGATTTTCGCATCGGTCCAGTTAGACATTTTTTTCCAACGCTTTATAGGTATGGATCGACCTACTAATTAGATAAACAAGGCCGTAATCAACACGATCATCCCGAGATCACAAATTTGAAACATGGGAGCGACTATCAAAAACTCACCATGTGAAAATATTAATTACCAAATATAGATGTATCCGAAGGGGTATTCATTATCACACCGCATAAGCAGTTTATAGAGATATATCCGCATACAGTATGAAATAACGAAACAGATTTAAAAATATGGGTTACCAAAGGTAACACCGAAGCGCTTCGCAAAAATAATCTTTATTATTTGACTCTTACAAAAATAGCTGGCCAGCTTATTGGAAAACAATGACATATAGTATAAAATTGAAAATGCTTATGATGACATAAATATTTTAGAGCCTCTGAATATTCTCGCAACTCCGAAGCAAGACTGGCTTCTTCGGTGCTATTGTCACTATCTGCGGGCAGTTTGGGTCGCTTCTGAGTATGTCACATCAGTTAAAATGAATAGGTCGTGACAGACTTATTCGCCTAATGTTGTTGTTTGGTGCTGTATTGAATGTATGAAACGATCCAGGGATATTCGGGAAGGTTTCTAGTTGAGGAACGACAACATTATACTGCCCTCTGCCAGGATGCAGGTTTTCGTCTCTATTCGAAAGGGTGTTACCTCCGAGGTAACGACCAGGTCCAATAAGTTCGCTAGACTGTGGTTCATGTACGACTCCTCGACAATTAGGACAGATCATCCTACGTAAAAAAATGTCTTTTGTATACATAATTCCATTAATTATGTATTTTATCCAACATTCGAAGTGGAAAGCATGCCCACATGCGAACTTCGTATATGCTTGTGCTTGCTTAATATCATCAAAGCAGATAGTGCACGTCACATCAGGCTCTGATTGCTCTATTTCGCTAGCGAAAAATAGAGAAACTAAAAATCTTAAGGTTTTTCTTACGGCCTCCATTAGAGAACTGAATGCCATAATTTTTTTTCCATACCACTTAAATAGCTATAGTGAGATCTACACCATGCGATAGTCGTCCGGCCGATCTTTTCTCAATACTGACCATATCTCCGGTATCTTCTGCGCATTTCAGGTGATCGGTCCACATGACCCGTCTAAGCCACAATCGCGATTTTGAGTTTATTGCTTGAAGCGAAGCAATATTCCAACTTATCTTGGAAATACAACTTTACTAATTCAGGCTCATGAGGAACTGATTCCCATTTTCGCAGTACCATGAGCCATGTAATCCATAATTCCCATGTTTTCCATCGCAAATAGGACATGGTGAGCTTCACGGCTGAGGTGATGCAAAATCATAATTATCAATCCCTCTGAAACTATTTCGGAAGACAATCTTCAAAGAACCACTCATGATTTGCTTCGATGCTATTATATTTTTGGCCAAGCCACTAAGCAGTTATTCGATCATTTTAGAAAAACTTGTAATGAGGATGTATCTAATGCTAAAGTTAACGATAGAATCATGAATCAGATTTCTGTACAAGATAAGCTTACCGAGACTAACCTTCAAAAAAGAAAGGAAAGGGGTAAAAAGGTTTTCAGGCTCTTTAGTAATGTTGGTGGTATAGAAGCAATAGAACGGTTAAAGTCTTTTAATGCTACTACAATCTTAAATCTATCCCCAGATGATGTCGATTTTCTTATTGCTAGATTAAACGAATAAATAGTACTACTGCTACATGTATTTTGTGTAACTCTTGATAATAAAGGGTCCTTTAAGGACTGGCTAAGGCCATTTTTGATTTTTTATTTGTAAAGTAGTGTGACACTAATGTCACAGCTCCCAGAGCAAAAATCATAAAGTTTCTGGTTTTCATTTCAGCATATAAATTGTCATAACCCATAACTCTGTTCCAAAACTTTGCCAGATTTCATTGGTTTAGCTGTGACATTAATGTCACACTTCTCCCCAATAAGATTTCGAATAAGAATCCATAATATGACTAAATTAGCCAATCATTTCGAACATGTGCATTTTATTCGTAATCATTTTTCAGGCTATCCGGCTAAAGAAAAAATCTGAAATCTGATTACGGCCAACCATCTCGTGATTTATCGAAACCCTAGAACTATTGAGAAAACTGGTAGAGATGTCATGT